ACCTGCGCCTGGTCAGTCACCGGGGAGCTGAGTGTTTTCAGCAGAGAAAAGGCTTTCCAAAACCGCCTTTGATTTATTCAGTATTTGGCTAACCCTGCTCTGAACCTGCCCCGTGAGATTCCCAACCATTTTAGCCCTCCTCTTTCAGCATACATGAACATGCCTCCTCGACCTAGTTCCATCCAAACATGCTGCTTCTCCCTCTGCTTTCGCAACAGCTCGCTCCGAGAATGAGAAACAGGCCCTTGAAGGAGGCTCGGGTTCACTCTCTGCGGAGTCCGTCAGCCCTCCCCACCCAGTGTGGGTCACCTACTGATCACAATGTGCGGCCCTATCGTGAGTGCACAGGAGGGCATTTATGGTTCGCTGGGATTCAAATGAATCTTTATGGGCCTTGTCTAGCAGCCAAAGGGCAGGCACCATCCCAGATTTTACAGCCACTCTCCTGGGTTTGCCTCTGGTTGTTTGCTTTCTTTGACATGCGCTCTGATGTGGGGTGTCTTGCTGTGTCTCTGGATTTGTGGACCTCCGTATTCCTTCACATGTTTATTGCCGGTGTAAGAGATACTTTGAAAGTATAGCTCTGCAAACAAACTATTACTCCCTACTGGATGAAGTAGATCTGCAGCAAAGATACCTGAGGGAGTGAATCTAGTTCAGTCAACAAACCATCAAAAAATAACTTCAAACTACTTTATACTTTCAAATCAATTACAGGATGTTGACTAACTTAATGTTAAGTAAAAATGAACATAAATGTTGAATGTATTTTCTTTTGTGAAGATGATTTAAGCAATCTTGTAAGGCTTTCAAAGTGATGCACTAGAAGGACTACTTTGACAAAATAAACATGACAGCCTAAGCTTTTGCTATGTAGTTGAATAAGTATTATAGCCAGTAAGATCTATATGGGAACTTACCATCTTGTACATGTATGCCTCGTTCAGAAGAAGACTCAACATGAGTCTGGTTCTGCTCAAGGTTTCTGCCTTTTGAAAGGACCTTTTTCCCTGCTACTGTTTCTTGCCACTAAATGCTGAAGTGCAGTTCTGACGGTAGATCATTGTTGGGTCTCTGTAAATAATGTAACATTGAAAAGTAAAATCCAGCACTGCTGTTTTTGTGTCTTGAGATAACATTTGTTGTGAATAGGGGCCATAAAAATAAGGATTGAAAATTTAACTAAACTATTTAATAACTCCAACTACAAACAGTAAAAATTACGTGAAAATACCTTATTTTTAAAGTTAAACTATGGAGTTATGGTAGAGAAATGTGAAAGTTGGAGAAATTTATAGGACTGACCTTGGGGTATATGTTCATAACTCTATACACAAGCTGTCCTCAGAGGAAAATGTAGACCCTGTAACACTGTTAGAAGATAAAATGCAACACTATTAAGTTATGGTGGTGGGGGCCCACAACAGTGAAAGCGTAACTCTCCTGGTAGCGTTTTTAGCTCCCAACATTGTTCCAGGGAATCATTTCTGTCTAGTCTGTGAAGGGAATCATTTTTTCCTTTGAATAAAGTTTGTGTATTGAGTTCAGAAAATATAGCATAGAATTGTTCCACTTCTGAAACTTTCAAATCGCACTAACAAATCTACATCCTGCACTTTTTACTGTCTTAAAGTTCTTTATTGTTGAGTCCAAAAGAAGCAACTTAAAAAACCATCTAACTAATCTGAAAATATGAGGGATGTTTTATTACCAGCAAACTTCTGCAAACATCAGTTAGATAACATATAGTGAACTACTCGCCAACACGTTTTATCATCAGGGGTTGAAGTATTGCTACCAAGACTGCAAGGTCAAAGTCCTCTGTGTATGTACTGTCTGTGTGTTTGTTTTACATGATGTAAAGACCACTTAACGTTTGTCTTTCAAGTTGTCACATTTTGCTTTCATTCATGGAGTCTGGCTGGTTTCATGCTCCTCAGTAATAAGAGGACTATCTGTTAGATATATATATATTGTCATGCTGCACATGTTGTCTTCCACATTAAGAGCGTCGGCTTCATGATTAACCTCACAGCACAGAAAGAACACAGCACGGCCTGTGGATAAGCACAAATTTGCGCTCTGTTGCATTTTCGCTGAACGTTGCTCTTTGCTCTGATCTAAATATTCTCGTCCGAGTCTCGAGAGGAACAATCAGAGCATCTCGGCAGGCAAACACAGATGATGAAAATATGAGGTCGTGTTTCAGGTCTGCAGATAAAGATGACAGTTCAACTCATTAATCAAACTGTCCCTTTTAATGTGTGAAAGCAAATACTATTTTGGGAGGTCAAATAACATTAGCTGCCATTGAATGTGGTGTAAAAGAGAGAGCGGTTAGACTGATGATTGTCTTACCGAATGCAATCTTATCCACAGCTGGAACATTATAGGCTGCTGTAATTCTAAATGATGCATTGACGTTTCATTTTTTCCTTCATCTGAAAGACTGTTTTAAACTCCTGACAGATTAAGCAGGATTCTATACGTGTGTATTTTGAATCCCTCGAACATGCACAGTCAGAAGGTTAAGTTTGTTTTTTAAAAAAAGAAGTTGTAAACAGGCTCCAGATGAGATTTTAAAAAGTGCAGCTAAGTGTGGTATTTCCCCTTTAAACCACAGCTCTGTCTCTCATTGTAATAAACCACAATGTGGTCAGATTTTTAGCCCCATCTCATTAAACATTTACAAGTTCCGACTCACTCTGCGCCATCTGTGATTACAAAAAAAAGAAAGAGCACAAACCCCTCCTTAACCTCATTAGTTATTTTATAGCAGCTCGTGATCCCTAATGGTCTTGTGTTTTTTGTAGAGCAATATAACATGAACTTTCCATTTTCCTTTTCTAACCCTCTAGATTTGCTTCTCTCTTTTTTTTTACACTTTTTTTTGTCACAAAAGGAGTCATGCACTACACTGCTGACTATTCCTTAAATTACAGGTTTAAAACAGAACAGCGGGGATAACACTTTTTTATTGTCCTGGATTGTCGGGTAACTATAGAGATTGGGAGAAAACTAGGTGGTAGCCTACACAGTGGTCTCTCAACAGCTTAATGAATAATTGACGCTCAATGGGGAAAATAACTCTATGGTGTTCTATTAGGAGTTCAAGTAGTCCTGCAAAACAAGTGAAAACACAACTAGCAAGGCACAACAATTACTGCAAGGTGTACAGTCCCTGACATTTTGGTTTGGAGTTTGGCAACACCAGTAATAAGTGCAACACTGCTCATTGCAACCTTCAGAATGTCTTTAAGACTTTCCTCACTGAGTGTTTTTTGTAAGCGTCACATATTTTGTGATTTAAAAAGATCTAAAAAGCTGCTGTAATGCTAGCAGCAGAATCTATGAAAACATAAAACTGGCTGTTGGATTATATGATCAAACATTGTACCTTAACAAGTCTGATTATCTCATGTGTCCACATCAATGAAGTCTTTGTCAAGATATATGGGAAGAGCTATGAGCAGCTGTGGCTGTAGCTCTCAACCGGAAGGTCGAGGGTTCGATCCCCAGCTCCTGCAGCAACACGTCCGATGTGCCCTTGGGCAAGACACTTAACCCCAAATTGCTCCCGCTGCTTTGGCGCAACATATGAATGGGATTAGTTCTTCTGATGGTCTCACTACACAGCAACCTCTGCCATCAGTGTGTGATTAGGTGTGAATGTGTAGGTGTGACATGCGGTGTAAAAGCGCTTTCTGTAGTCAGAAGACTAGAAAATTGATACAAGCTCAAGTTCATTTACCATTTATCATCTATGACATCACCCTTAAACGGCTTCTACCCTGAATGCTAATGCTAATTTCCCCACCATGGACACCGTTCAAAGTGCAGAGAACTGTTGTTCCCCCGAGGCTGTTTCAAGTTTGAAGAATTGCTTAGTATGTTGTGTATAGTTAGTTAATTCGGCCTGTTTTTCCTGGAGTATGGTGAGAAAAGTAAAATCATCTCATCACCTTTTAAAACTCTTAAACAAGCTAGCCATTTCCCCTTGGTTTCAAGTATGTATGCTAAGCTAATCAGCACCTGGCATTAGCTTCATATTGAGAGCATAGCTATACCGTGGTTTTAACACTCCTGTCAAGAAAGCAAAAAAACACATGAACCAAAGGGTCTTCTCTTTGATATACAGAGTGGATAACTGTAATAGGGGTTTAGTTCAGCTCAGAGAAGATTTAAACTGTAGATCAATATTAGTCTCTTTGGTTGAGGGTACTCATCAGCTTGAGCACTTTCGGATAAGAATCTCTTTACACATTTCCCATGGTAACAGCCTTTTGATCATTTCAGTTCCCATGGTTTTTTTGACAATCTTTTAAAGTTCATCTGCCAAAGCTTGAGTCTTGTTCATTTTGAAAACATGCCTGCTCTATTCCTTAGTAACATTCTCAAAAAGGAAATGTAGAAACTCGATATATCTTGTCATTGATTTTCAACACAGCAGGCCTCTTATTGCCCCATTATGTTTTCTGGAATAATAGCCTACAGGGTTTAGCAAACGCAAATCACATTTAAATGCTCTACAACCACAAATGTGTTGCAGATGCAGACATTGAAGGGTCTTAAAAAAATGAGCCTGGTTAGCAAGAAGTTCACTTTTAATTAAAAAATGTAGGCCTTATGACGATTGCTGCCTGTTCAGGGTACATGTAATACGTCTCTTTTGCCTGGTTATGCTCAATCCATGTGGTTTTTAGATCACTCTGCACGTGCAAGGATGAGTTCCTCACCCACTTGTTATGAGTTCATTGTGTTTATGAAGAATTACACCGTCCCCCTGCATCATTTTGTGACAGCAGAGAACAAACAATAACACAATTATGCCCCCCAAGCGTGCGTTTCATGTTTTGACAACATCGTCTGTCACAGTCACTGATCTCATTTTTGGAATAAATCAAAGGTGGTTCACACTGCCGTGGGAGTCAAAGCCCAGACACAAAGCAACGTGTACCTCCCAAGAGTTCACTTTTTCTTCTTCATCATGCACAAAGAAACACAGTGCGTCTCTAAAACTCCATTTTATTATCTGGTTTGATTCAAAAACAAGTTAAAAAGAGAATAAAAAAAAAAGAAGTGTAAAAACAGACTAAAACAAGTGTCACAAAAACCTCCCAGAATAACTACTGGTTCAGAACTATGCATGGCTTCGGTTCAAAGTGAAAATGGCATTCAGTCCTTCATACTATACACATACGCCTGCACACATGCATACAAATGGGACCAGGGTGTGTCCTGCAGTATATCGATTAACTGTACCTGCAGAATCAACCACCTATCATGTCCCCTAAGTGTTTGTCCTCACACTGTCTCTGGGTCTCCTCCTCTTCCACATGTCTTAAGGTCCATATTCCCTTCATTATACCCAAGAGCTGCTCATTTTAGCACACAAATTGTCCTCAATCCAGGCTCATGTCCTCCCTTTGAACGTGTTCATGCAGGTATAACTCCCGGAAAACTTGTGGATTTCTTCAAGTGCGATTTGAGGCATGAAGCTGAAAAGTAGATCATAGAAAAAAACAAAAGGTAAGCATGGAAACATAGACTAGACATGCACAGACTATACAAAAAAAATACAAATTATTGCTTTGATTTATGTGTTACCTTTTTAAAATAACGAGGGCGTGCATTGTCCAGGGCAGGTAGAGGAAGGCCTTGTCAGCTCTGACTGCATCCACAGTCCTCTGGGCGACTATCTCGGGTTTGAGAGGCGGAAAGAGCTGAGGAAACCTAACATAGAAAAGAAAGTCATTTTGATAAGAATGCTTTCTCAAAAACCTGAGGGCAAGCCCTTTGTTGGATATTTTTACATCAATTTACAGAGCAATCGAGTTGGACTTAGCTCACCTAACTTTATGGCAGCATAGCAACATTTTAGATAAACCGTTTTTTTTTTTTGTTTTATTGCATAACAATTTAAAGTGTTTGGTGTACTGATTAAGTTTTTTGACATTCTGTGACATTGTCTCAGGTCATCCGACATTGTTCTGCACTATCTAAGCCTTGTTCACCCTGTTCTCTAATGTGTTCTCCTCTCATTGGTTGAAATATATCGTGCCTGCTGAACTACAAGTAGCATTGATATAAGGCAAATATTCTCAATATACAGTAGGGTCTTATAGCAGACTCTGTATAGCAGTCACCCCCTAACGACTCATTCTTTTCACATCACGTCTTGCCTCAGGAGACCGCCCGCCCGCCCGCCCGCCCGCCCGCCTGCCCCTCCTCCCATCTTACAGGGTTTAGCCTCTCACTTTGAGGTGCATAGTATGCGAACAACCAGAACAGGGGGACTTCAAGGGGCCTACGATTCTTCAGAAACTTTCCGGAGTACGTATGTTAACGACTATAGAGCCCAAAGAACCAGTGTCAACCGGTGTTGCCTGCAGAACCTCCTCATACATTTATTTTACTCACAAACAGAAGAAACCCACTTTCCCATTAAAAACATGTTAAGATGGCATCACCAGCATACGTTACCCACAGGGGAAGTCTGGGCTGATAACACCTCTGATAGGACAAACAACTAACTTAGATCTTCAATCATTTTCAACATCCCTTTCACTATTTAATGAAATACCTAATCTCATTCAAAGTGACAATATAGAGACCTTATATATCGATCTCTAAAATCATTATGCATTAAAATCATCCATCCAATCATTGAGATACAGTATGATACCCTGAACAATTAATGTCAACTTCACAGGGTTGTTGGAGGACCAATCTGAACTCTCTTTATGCTTCATCCTTCAGTGAACATGATTGAAAAATATCCAACTTGTCCTTTATCCTTGTTGTGGTTCAGCCAAAAGTGGTGGACTACACACATCTAGAGTCTACTCGCATGTCTACGAAGTCAGAATAATGATGCAGGGGATCTTGATGTACCTGACTCTCATGCCCTGGAACATCTCTGTGTTGGTGTGGAACGGCAGCACCGTGGTGCAGCTGACACCGGGACAGTCCAGCAGGCCGAGCGTCAGACTCTCCATGAAGGCCAGAGAAGAGGCCTTGGAGGTGCAGTAGTCTATGGCCCCCGGGATGGGGGACTGGGACAGGATGGAGTTTATGCACACTACATGACCATGCTGCAGCTCCAGCATCCGAGGAAGGAAGGCCTTTGTAGTCTGGAGAAAGAAAGAAAGAAGAAAGACAAAAATAAGAGAATGAAATGGGAGACTGAGGACAAGGTGGAAGAAAGCACGGTGTAAGGGAAGGTGAATTATATTCAGCAGAGTAAAAGGAAGAGCAGACAAGGGAATCAGGCTCACAGTGTAACCACAGATTAAATTTCCATTTCCATTTAGTTGATAATTGCATTTCTGTCTGCGTACGACACAGTCTTTTCATCTCTATTCAAAATAAAAATGCCACGAGTTTCAAAACCCATCTGATGTTTCAGGAGCTGAGAGGAGATTTGGAAATACCCCACTTAACCTGCCACAATAACAGGCATGATTGACAAGTCTGTGTTTGCCTGCTATAGTTGCTGCCGTGCCGTAATCAGAAAAGGAAAATGATAAGGGTAATCTGCCTTGAGGAATTCCCCTCCTCCTCCTGCCTGGAAAAACTGCCAGTGGTTTAGTTTCTGCGAGTCTTACCCAGAACTGTCCCATCGTGTTGATGTGTTGGGATTTCAGGAGGGCGTCGTCATCGCTGTCCATTAAACTTTTGCCGTGGACTACGGCTGCGTTGTTCACCAATATGCTAACATCTCCAACCTGAGATTAGAAAGCACAAAAATAAGAGAGAAAAGTTAACTCTGCCACATATCTTGTGTTTTCTGACAGCTTATAAAAAAGGTACAGTTGTGCTGCGCCCCAGTCACTCATATGAAGTGTAATCTATACACCAGATGGGAGACAGAGCAGCTCAGAGCCAATGTACATACAGAACAGTCAGAGAGGCATCGCAGAAGCATGTAATGCATTGTTTCACTCTCTTTGTGCAAGACAAAATATCCAAAGAAGTGTTGAACTGGTTTACCTTTTCTCGAACCACTTTGGCCTGCTTGTAAACTTCCTCCCGATTGGCCACATCGCACAGGAAGTAATGGCACTCTGTTCCTGAGAGAGAGATCTCTTCAGCGGTTTCTTTCAGGCACTTCTCTGTTCGGCCCCATAAGATAACCTGTCAAAAGAAATTAAAAGAAAATGTTTTAATAAAGCTGTTCCAAGATCAGAAGCAGATCAAGTGAGTTGAGGCCTATAAATGCCAGTCAGTGAGTCCTCAGTAAAACATTACGTATGTTTTGCGCAATATTTTCTGGCAGAGACCCGCTGTAACTCTGGAGGTCTTTGGGCAGCGATGTTCTTTTCATTCAGAGAACAGAGAGGCCATTTTCACTCTAACAAATAGTTTTCCAGCAAGATTAAAGGCTTGGGGGTTGCTGTGTGAATGAACTGTCTCTTCATCTACCCAGAGACTAAATGAAGGCCGGTCATTTGAGCAGGGAACATGGGGTTGGATGGAGGTAGGAGGGGGTTGGGGTTGGGGAGGGGACTAGTGATTGGGCAATTAGATCTGTCAGTCTTTGGGGTCAGGGAAAGGTAATGAAATCAGGGGGTGAGCCTTCCTCATCTCTCAAACACAAATTCTCAAAGAGATTACACGGCCTGTTGAGCAGATGAGCCCCGTCATTTCTGGTCAGGGAGTCTGACAACAGTGCGTGTGTGAAGTGCTGAGGACGCCAGTGTGGGATTTGGCCAGCCGCCCGTGACCAAGGTTAATATTTGAGCAAAATGTCTTTTAGGAAAGTGATATTGTGTATGTGAGAGGAAGAAATGCTGGGTGTGTGTATGCATACACATTCAAAAGGGAGCATGTCTTGCCAATGGTTCATTTGCTTCAGATGATCACACATGGTCTCTTTTTCAGGGATTGAACCCGTCATCTCGCAGTAACAGGACACTTTCAAACACTGCCAACCTTTTAAAATGTGCCCAGCCTTTTTTTTATAGAGCCAAACATTACAAACTGCTAATGACAGTTTGTTAATTTGCACAGTCACAACCCTTAAAACTCTCCAAACTAATGCGTTACTTTGCAGTGTTCATGTGTCTGATGGTAATAGCATCAGAAGCAAACCAAACACGGAAACACTGACAACAACAGGGACACCACTGATTGCAGTCTGGAATCTGTCCTTTATTTCTTTATCAGATCTGAGGCAATAAGGGGTTTGGCTCCCTCTGTGAACCACCCTTGTTTGAGTTGCCTTTGATTGGGTTTTCTGTTTGCTTCATTTGCAGCCTTATTTAGGTAATCAGGGGAGGCAGACAGGTCCTGATAAATAACCGAAAGCTTTTAATAGGATTTGAGCCTTACAAACAAAGCTGACAGCTCTCATTAAAAGTCAGCACTCAAACTGTGCTCTCTTGCTTAAATGTTATTTAATTCATTAGGTTTATCACCCGTCACAACACGCAAGAACCTCAGAACAAACAAGCATTGGCCAAATTGCTATCTGGATAGAAACAGTAAGAAAACAGTTTTTAATAGACCCTACACAAGCTGCTCTCGCTATCAGAGATACACCATTGATTGTTCTAACAAGGCGTGCGTTACAAGACTAAACATGAACATGTGCTTCGAGAAAAAATCTCTGTGATCAGCAAATTACACTTGCATTGCCCTTGAGAACAAGAGTGCCAATGCCATTAAACACTGACTGTAGTTAACTGCAGCATTTATGTTTTCCCTTGATGATCCCATTTTGCAAGTTTTGAAGTTGTTGTTCTATTTATTAAAACTTGTAATATGGAATAGGGTGCTTCAACTGAAATGTGTTGAAAATGATTTTTCATGGCTTATCCAGGATACTACACATGCACATGGTTACCACTTATACCATAAAAGAGATGACAAATAAGTCAGAAATCGCTATGCAAAATGTGACTTAATGCTAAGTTTTCAATCTCCAAGGCAACATTTCCATTGGTCTGCGATTCTTTTGGCATGTAACTACGTCAAGTTGCTCGACTCAGAAAGTTGGGGGCCAAAATGTGCCCACACTTTCCAACTTGAGGATGACTTTACATAAGTTGCAAGCTAAGTTTTTGATCATACCGACATTTTCTGATGTCGGTACTGTTAGTTTCTTATGCTCTGATGGAGCCTTGATACATGCGAAAAAAAGTCTTTAAAACCTGGGAGGTGCATGTGTGAACGCTAACATCCAAATTATTCACTCTGATTTTTCCAAGAAGTTTTCTTGCCTGCCCCATCGTAAATTTTCTGATGAGAGGACACAGCAGGAAAAATCCACGGCTGATGGCCATAACACCCTGCAACCGGCACACAACTATCACCGCGCACTTAACAAAACTGCATTGTTATGTTTTCGCCAGTATGCTCTTTTCCTCTCTTTTGTCGACACTGAGAGTATGTTCAACTACACATAGTGCTGAAATACTTCGATATTAAGGCAAAAAAAACCTGACATCATAGTGTCTTGCAAATGCGAGTCGTTCATTTTGCGTCATGCATGGCCTCCTGAGAATCTCATCCGACAGGGATAGTCTCCTGCTGTGAGGTGCATGTGTGAACAAACAAGTGAGGATGATTTCAAGGGAGATCCGCCTAAAATTGTCTATAAATGTTCAGGGGTGCATATGAAAACGGCTCCCTAGTCTCCGAGTAACTCCTGCTGAATTACAGTGATATGCTATATCCTGGATCTGAATGTATGGGTGGGTATGAACCCTCCTTTTCACACCCATTGTAAGGGCCAGCACAGAGGCGGCACACAGAGGGGGCAGCAGGAGTTCAGGAGGCAGTCGCCTGCCGCTGTCTAATTACTGCGGAGACAGCAAGGTCAGCTGCAGGGCAATACCCAGCTGGGAGCGGTGTGCTTCCCGCCTCCAGCACAACACGCACACCCACTAAAAACCTGTTGTCAGTGCCTCCTCACTTTGGTTCATCTTCCACACTGTGGTCTCCTTATGTAATCGTAACAACCACATGAAAATCAATGTTTTCTGCAAACACTTTCTTCTAGAGTTGTTTCCAAGGGACTGAAATATACCATAAAAGGAGCTTTGAAGAAGAATGCTGTTCTAACTTGTCAGCTATTTACTGGTATTGTTCTGAAAAGCCTCTCGCTGTGCTCTGTTCTTGGATGCTGTTCTCGAGAACACATTGGTCTGGTTTATTGTTTCTGAGCTTCGTTCTGCAACGCTTCCCCCCTCCAACTACACACAAGAAGACCTGGCTCCCCTCCTGAGTCCCCGGCTCTCCATCTCGCCGGATTCTTTCATCAACGCTGTAGTTTAGCCTTCCTCACACCGTGAAAACACCAAAGCCCAAGCAGAGGAAAAAGGAAATTCCGGCTGCCACTCACAAAGGGGCTCAAACAGGGGTGAGCGCAAGTTCGTAGAGGTTAGCCCTATTCATAATTACAGCCCTGTATCCTTTTAGCATCTCTTTAGGCAGGGAGTAATTGTCATACGCACTACCCCAGGTGTTGTTTTCAAAGCCTTCACACCTTGATAATGCCCAACAATGAGGTGCTGAAAAGTGTGGTGACATCCTTTGTTGTGCAGCTGCAGAGTAAAGCTTTTAAAGACCCATTGGTTTCTTCTTGCTCAATCCCCGAGGAGATGGCATTGAAAGACAGAGAGAGGCAGTTAGTGTTTCACCAAGCTTTTAGCAATGTTTTCAAGCTGCTAAAATTGCACCTCGAGTGTGCATTAGAGACTTGGAGCCCATGTCACACATGTAGGGATAATTATAACCTGCAGCTGGGCTGCTCAAAGCTTTCTAGCAGGGAAATTACTACCTCGTTCTTCCATGTGTAATGATGACTCCCATCTGAGGTGATCAAAAGTGGAGCTGCTCTGTATTAACACATTGCGGCTAAAAAAGGGACCCCAGCGACTCATCAGGCACTCAGCTGTGTAATGTTCACCCACTGGATGGATTGACAAACCGTATAGCTGGAAATGATGAAGGGAACAGAGCCCGACCTGCAGCAGTGAGGAACTGTCTCTGCAGCCACTGGAATATCACAAAGTGACGGCTGCTTGTTAGAGGGGTGAGGGATGGTGAGGGTGGGGAGGGGCTTGGATCTGATGGGTGGGCAGGAGGATTTTCTGGGTTTGGAAGGAGTGAATTAGATGATTTGATTTGAAAGAGGAGATTGGTTTCTTTTTATGCAATATGAAATCCAATGAATTACTCAATCTCATCAATGATTGCTTTATGATCTCCATATTATAACAATATTGAAAAATAAAGTAAAGACCCATAGTCTTATATTTATTAAACAGTGTGTTGCTATTAAAGATTGTTCTGACCTTCCAGCTCTTTTTGTTTTGCCAGAAGAAGCACTTTGGGCTTCATGTCTAAATGAAAAGGGTCATACAAATAAAGTTCATTTCATTATAACTATCTTCATGGACTAAAAGACAGGGTGTTACACACTGAATCTGTTCCAGAGAGCAATACAAACCGTGGGTAACAGCCTGAAGAATTAAATCAACACCCATCTGCAGAAAATAAATCTGAATCATGACTTCATTCCCATAGTAAATAACAATGTTTCTCATGTTTCTGACCTTTCACCACCTAAGAGTCTGTTTTCAAGTTACCGTTTGGTTTAGAACTGCTTAGACCAATGCATGATCATCTAATGTCATTTGCTCTTTCCCAACTCTTTTGGTTGGGTTAATTTTGCATCTGGAGCCATAAAAAAGAGATATCATGTCCTCTTGTTAAAATGAAAACAAACCGAATCTGGCTTTTATTAAAAGCATGATGGAAGAAGACCTTCTAATGTGGTAACAGCGGAGCTGTGATTATGTGGATTGCTTTGAAGCAGTTTAGTGATGCTTTGGACACATGACCCCCCAATTACAAAGTACAATGATACATATTAAAAAACTGAAAGTGAATGCATTTACAAAAGCTTAAATCTATCGATGCTACACTTCCTAGAAAGGTCAGTCACTCCAGCTCCGAGAAGAATGACTGTCAGCCGGGCACAACATTTAATCACTTCAATCAGGCATCCAGGCTGTGCACAGCTGACCTCATGTTGACCCAAAGTTGTTGTGCAATACTTGAACCAAAATGAAGGGCAGTGCCTCCCATGTCTCACTGGACCAACTCGTTTCTTAGAGGTTATGGTCCCTGCTTTCATAGAACAGTGGAACAACAATACACCTGGGACAGGGTGGGCAGCCCTGGGAGGAGGGAGGTAGGGTGGCCAGTCTGACCAAATACTATACTACAGGTTTGGTGTCCAATCAATCATGCCCTGCCAAACCAATCTCTTGGCAACATATTTCACTAAAGCTATACAATTATCGTCTTCTCATAATCGATTAATCTACCAATATTGTTTACCACTAGTTCATTTGACTGTTACTGTACTCCCCTTTAAATTATAAACCATACTGGAAAAATGCTTATAACATGTTGTCTTCGAGCATCTTTTTTTCATAAAGAGTCCAAAAGTCAAAGTCATTATTTTCTTCAAGAACTAACAGAGAGCAAAAAATGCTGACACCTGAAAAAGCAGGTTTGACATTTCTACTTTAAGAAACTCACTGAAACGATTAATCACTTTTTCAAATAGTTGGCGATTAATTGTCTTTCCATCAAATAATCAATTAAACCGATTACTCATTATTGCTCTATTCAATGCATTAGTTTGGAGAGAAAACGTGTGTGTGCAACAGGTTGTCTGTTAGAGCTATTACCTTTCTGGCCCCCTGCTTGGCGAACTCTTTGGCCAGGTGACGCCCGATGCCTCGTCCTCCTCCGGTGATCAACACCACCTCCTTGCTCAAATCTTTCCTTCTGCTAGGGAACAGCGCAGACAAACTTGCTCTGACGATATAAAATAGCATTTGCACGGGGAAAAGAACCATACGACACGCGCTCTTCAACTCCATCTCGGGAAAGTGCAGGCTCACGCGCTCACGACAACTGGACTGTTTACGTTGCAGCAAGTTTACCAAAAGCCTCCAAATACAAGCGACTTAAAAGCTCCTGCGGATAAAATCACATGCGATGTCAAAAACTGCTGCATGAGAAATCCATCCGGAGTAAAAAAAAAAAAAAAAAAATTAAAAGTAGCAGAGGTGTGTGAGTTGTAAAAGCTCTGACTTATGAATCATATGTCAGATATGGCTCTCAAATGTGTCAGTGATCAGTCATTACGCCTGTCAGGACGCACAGACGTGAAACACAAGTCCAAGCGACGCTCCGCTGTGTGCGCTACTGAAACCGCTCTGCTTTGGAGTTGTTGTGTTCCTGTCCTGTCCCGGTCTGGCTTATATATCAGCGCCTCTGCCCCGGCTCCGGTTCTTCCAGCAGTGAGAGGACCTGGATGAACCTAAAGGAGAGGTTTGTAAGGGCATTAATCCTGATTGACATGTTAAGTGGGGATGAATATTTAGCTCCACGGTGCCCGTCTGCCCTGAGTGGCTGCGTACTTACCCCTTCTCCACCCCCTTTCATGTGTCTACAGAGGTGGTTCTCAACCTGTGGTCCGGGGCCCCCCAGTGGTCGCTCAAATAGCGTCCCAGGTGGGTGCCCAAATCTTGTTTGGGAAAGGTTTATTTTTAAGTCGAACGACCTGCACTTCACCTCGTTGCATAACGTGGAGAAAAAAAAACAATGATGTTGCAATCATAGGTTTCACTGAGAGATAGAAGTTAATGCAAAACAACCAAAGTACTCTTAGGTAATAGAGGCAGAAGATTATGGGGGATTATAAGGGTCAGGCATGAGAAGAATAAAAACGTTTTGAATTAAAAAAACAAAAAACAAAGCAGAGAAGTTGGGAATAAAGTCCAATTGTTGAGAATGCCCCAATTCACACAGCAGCTGTTTCTAGGATGTAAAGGATGGGATGCCTTGATTCTGTTGTTAGCTTTCTGGATTTTCACTGTAACATTATACTGCCCTACAAAGCCAAAGAGCAGTATCTACAAAAATGACAAACTGAGAAAAACAGCTTTTTGTGTTTTTTGTTTGCCAAGCGTAAGTATAAAATTATATTTAAAAAACAATTGTATGATTGATTAGATGAAAGTGAAGTGAATTTGAAACATATTGTAATTTGAAATTCAGGTTAACCATTTCAGTTTTACGGCTAAAACTGCACTTTGCCTTTGTTGAATAATTATATGGCCAAACACTGATGGACTGCAGTAACTAACAATTGTTAATGGGTTTTTATGTAATTGAGTAGACAAACAAGATGTATATTCTATTCCACTCATTTGTTTTGTTTCCTATTTTATTTTATTATTTTATAGATCAGATTAAAAAAAAAATATATAGTTACATCTTACAGTTACAGGCCTGTATGTTTGGGTATATGAGCAATAATTCATATGAACTGAACAATTGATTAAAATCAATTAATTAATTAACACTGAATGCAACACAAGAATGCGTTCTACGAGACACATGTGACACACATGTAATTATAACAGTTTTATCAGCCTGGGCATCAATTACCAAAATGTACTCCTGGCTGTGACAGACATAAACATAATTTTTGCACGTTTTTGAGACTTCAAAAGTACTTGATAAACAGAAACCACCACTGTTCTCTCTCTTTCACTTGCAGCAGTCGTTGGATACAAATATTACTTTAAGATCTGTAGATTTATTTTTGGTTCAGGTAGGCTACTTTTGGCTCGTATCATAAGAGTGATTGAATCGTTTTAAACATGTGGTATCAAAAATAACTGAAACATTTTCACATCTTTGCTTTACATATCTCCCTTTTCTGCATATTTTTACCCATTACATGAGTGCTGTAAATAACCTCTCAATGTGCATTTACATTGAGTGTCCTGGTTATGAGCCTTATCTTGGTTGGTCCTAAAACAAAGGCAAACTGCAGTATCTGACACTTTCTTCATGGTGAAACCAAGGCAAACTGCAGTATCTGACACCTTCTTCATGGTGAAACCAAGGCAAACTGCAGTATCTGACACATTCTTCATGGTGAAACCAAGGCAAACTGCAGTAAGTGTCACTGCAGTTAGCCTTGGTTTCACAGTGTATTTTACAGATACTGCGTAACTAAAAAACCCAATATCTCTGGGAAATAAAGCAGTAGAACTACAAAACTCTCACAGATTGAGGAGCAGATACTGCACTTACAATTTTGCACAAAAGTGAATTTCACAAAAAGTGCAGATACTGCACTTTGGCTTTGTAGGGCAGTATAGTTGAGAAGTGGCCAAAAGATGATGATTCGTCAGATTCCCATTCGTCGCATGATTGGCAGCCTGGAACGCAATGAAGCAACTTTAAAAAAAAAAAAAATTGACAGGAATTGAGTTTCCTGTCCTGACTGTGATGTTGGAAGAAAATGCCCAACTCGTAAATGTGGTAAATAAATCAGACTTTAAATTGAAGTGCAAGAGGAAATATAATAGTAATACTTTCTGCATGTTTTGAGGTTAAGGTCAAAATGTCAAAGTCTTCATACTCAAATTAAAAGCATTTCTCTGACTTACTTTTTTTTGTATAGGCTACCTTTCGCACACTGAAAGTTGATTCCCCCACCCCAACATTTTCACTGTATTCTCTTTTAAATCCACAGATGGGGATATTTGGTCAATGGCTTCATGAGGTGACTGGGAGGCTTCTTCGACTAATCCTTTCTCCTCCCCCTATTAATTAAGTTAAACAAATAAGCAAACAAACAAATAATTAGCTTAGCATTTAAAACAAACAGACAACTGAAAATCCTGACAATTGAAACCATAACAGTAACCCCCAACACAAATAAGGAACCTAGGCCGAGAGAGAGAGAGCAATTTGATGAAGTCAGATTTTGTTACAAAACATTACAGAAATGAAACATTACCTTTTCATTCTGTATGGATGCAGATCTCATAATGACCAGTGCATCTGCTGCTTTTCCTTTTGAGTTAGTAACTGATCTCTACCTCCTTCAGCCTCCGTATACATGCTGTAAACATAGCTTCAAAACACATGTGAAAGTCAAGCGTATACAGAAAAGCTTTTGTATTGTTTTATAAAGAATAGTAAGGTTTGGATCCAGCTGTATGTGATGCGGCACAGTCTGTCTTACATTTGTAACGGTCTTCTGTGTGCAAGACCCACATCCGTTGTCTCAACCCAATTTGTTGTGAACACAGTATTTTTTGAAGCGCACTATATGGTTCTGTGTGTGACAGCGCAATTAGGGAAATAGGTCAGCCCAGTCTCAGACGCTCGGCAGTGTGACAAACAGAAAAAAAAAAGTGCATGAATACCTCCTAAACAAATCCTGTGAATTCATGGGCCTCAGACAAGATTCCAGTCTGTGATTTTTGGCCCTGGCACTGTGTTTTTTTTACTGGGTATTGCTGAATGCAGGGCTTTTTTCAGCAAGGGATGGGTTTAAAGAGCAGCCTTACAATGGTTGCTTTGTGCAGGGCTCAGCTACTTAGAGAAGGCAGAGAGGCTCTCGGGGGCTGCTAAAAAACACAGAGACGACACGACTCCAGATGCTGTCTTCATTTTGGAAAATTTCAGAGATTTAAAAAAAGTGGATCCAAAGTCAAGCTGCATTGGAGGCTTGTGAATACGTTTCTCTCTGCCTGAGAGTAACTGAATTTAAATGAGAGGGGCTGCAAAAACAAGAGAGAAATCCAAAGATTTACGTTACAGCGCGGGGTCAAATGGGTTCATGCTGCAATCGAAAAGCAAAAAATGTAAATAGGATATATTTCAGAGGACACTGTTTATTCATCCTCATGCTATCACTGCCATCTACAGATCAACAGTGAAAGTTCAGATGAGGATTTCCTCAGTCTGCCTTCAGTGGAAGGAACATTTTCTTCCAGAGACCACACATAGCAAATGTCATTCTGTGCTGTGGGGAGCTGAAAGCAACAGAACTTTGTGTGTGATGAAAGAGAGCACATAAGAAACAAAACAAACGTATCAAATATTGCCAGGAATTCAAGGCAACATGAGCATGTATGCAATGTAAGAGCAATTAAAACGGCTCTATTAACATACCGGTATCAGTACCATTGCTTGGTCTCTGTGGCAAACATGCAATACTTTGATTGCACATCTGTAAAATATGCAGAAGAATATTTTAATGTTTTCCTGGGCAACAGGCAGCCAAACACGTCATTAAGTGAAACCAAGGTCAGACTGCATTGCACGCAGACGTAGGAGGGGTGGAAAGAAACCAAGAGCAGGTAGATAAAACATTTACTCCTAATGACTTACCTTCAGCTGAGCACACCAGCAACATCATGGACATGGGCTCGGCTATTTTAATAATTGGCTCCGCTGCTCTTGTTGCTGCCTTCCTCCTCCTGGTAATTGGACTTGTGTACTCTGAGCTGATGAATTCAGACATTCCTCGCGGGGTTGCAAATAGCAGGAAACTGCACATGGTTCATGGCTTGTTTGTCAGCGTAGCAATTGTTCTATAGATTGTAGATTGTTCAAATCTATTGAAGTGTTCACGCTTATTATTTTATGTGTTGTATCTGTTCTTATTAACTTTATTTTTTAAATTATCAACTTAACATAACACATCCTGTTAAGGAGATTGAATCTTCTTTTGTGCGAGGAATAAAAAAAAACAAGTCTTCTCTTTTATGCCCTTGTCAAAGATGGCTGTCCTCTCTTTGTCCTCCAGCACAGATACAAGCTTTGATCAGAGACGTTTTAAGATAAGATATCCAGTCAGACAAAGGTGCAGAAAAAGACAAGGTTGTGCGTTCCCTGTCTTTGATGTTGTCATAATAAATATCCTTTGTGAAAGAGAATGGATTTCACTTTGACTTTACCCATCAAGAAATATAAATATATACGTTCACCTCCAACACTTGCTCTGACTTGTGGTAAATCTGTGGTTTCTCTTCTCTACAACAAATCCTGAATTTGTACATCATCTGGGTTTTTCTCAACATGTTAGTTTATTTCATGTATTTTTCTGTCTGTTTTATGCACATGGTTAAATCCAGCTCCTGCCGTCCTGCAAGTGACAGACCAAAAGTATTCTGATGTTGCATTGCAAGTTTACACATTTCTCTTTAAAGTGTGGGAAAGCAGGAACACATTTACTTACAACAAATATATGACTTAGCCTCTATTTTGTGATGTATTGATTTATGTACTGGGTTACATGCAAACTGGTTGGAAGGGATAAACTAAGATGACATCGATTTATTTGTGTTTTGCGTCTTGTATTGTGGGGGCTGCGTTGGTATCGGTTGGGGTATTATTATTTGGAGGAAGGTTCATATCAGTGGTGCTGTTATGATGTTGGCTAAATGACTTGCTGGAACATTTGATTGAATCTCAGCCAATGTGTCAGAATGATTCCATGTGGAATGGGTCTTATAAATTACCTGACAGGAAATTAAATACATGTTCATTCATTCAGGCTTGTGTAGAAATGTTCATAAAGATAGATAGGCGCTTTATTGTCATTGTATTTAGGAACACAATGAAACGTTGTTGGCAGCAATCCTGTACAGCAGCATTTTGGGCATATACATATATTTAAAAAATGTGTGTATATATATATATATATATATATATATATATATATACATATATTCAAAGTTATGTACATAAGATAAAAGGTTGTTCTAGATTGAGAGAGAAGCAATAGCTATAACAATGGAAAATTCATGAATGTAAAATGTGACTAACCTGCACGATTCTTGCATCTTTGTCTCCACATGGTTGATTGTCACAGTAAGTCACTTTTAGAAGAATCAGCCAAATAATAATATCATGGAACCATTTTCAAATAAGAAGCTTCACCAGTTCTCCTGCTATTATTTTTAACGTCTGTTTCCTGCTTTATTTCCAGTGTTAAGTGGTTCAAACAAACCTTTCCAGCCATAAAATAAATAAATGGATATTTTTAAATTGCTGTCTGTGTAAAGCCCTTCACTAAAGGACCTATGGATTCATTGGGGGAGAATAAAAGTACCTGTCTTCTGTCTGAGTTTTGTTGGTGGACAGGTTTAGCCTTTACGACAATTATTATATTCTGTTGAAAATAATAAATAAGAAAGGTTGGCAGTGCTGTCTACTACAATATTTATTTGCTTATTGTCTTAGGTTTAACAAACTGTATTGTGTATTCATGTCCTGGTGGTGCTTTGGTGTGACTTATTAATGAACGTTGGGGTTGGATTTTATCAAGTCATTACTTTTTTATAATCCTTCGTTTTTATATGCAAAGAAACAAGTCACTAAAAACTAGCAAACAATGAATTCAAATAATAGTGAGATGTTGTGGAGCACATATACATTTTCAAGCCAAGTACTAAAATGAACTACTGTCCCCACATGTTATGTCAATATTTGCAGAATCTATTATAAAGTTTTCAATATTGTCCTTTCTGATTGTACAAAATGTGATGAGTATAGAGGAGGGAGATTCTTGCTCCAACTGTGGTGCTTAGTTACTTTCTAATAAAGACCTTTACATTTCTTTGGCTCACTGTAATGTCGTGCTAATCCTGAACAGATTTTGTTGCTGAAGTCTGCCAGCATTTGGCCAAGGAGTCTGATACCACTGAGGTTTCTGTTGGATGCCAAACTTTTTCCAGATTGTACATAAACAACCCAAACTTATTTCCTGACCAGAGCGCCAGAACTGAACATATTGTCCCTCCTTCGTCCCTCTCACCCCTCTTAGGTATCGATTAGCCTCTGAGCACGGATGCCCAGCCCATATGGATGACTGACGTGTCACTTCCTCCCTGTGGCCGAGGCTGATACCAGCGTGTACTCTCACAAAGTGGCAGTGGGAGGGGACAGCCCTTGGGCTAACCTGGCAGCAACTCTGTGCCAAAGGCTGGCAAGAAGTGAGGAGCGACATCTGCTGTTCCCCTGCGCTCAGGTCCTCATCCACCCAGCCTTGCAGAAGGCAGATTTCAACCTGCCCTCATACCAGCAAAATCATGCTGTGCCCATATTGTTTCGTGGCCGGATGGCGTTCTGCTTCCTGCAGAACCTCAATGGACACATTTCTGTTAGCCAAGATGTGTTGGAAAGCTATCATGTCCCCACTAAGCCCAGGCCACGGTATGAAAGGTGGCTCTCCCCATCCAACCTGCCTCCCGGGTGGAGGTTATTGTAAGCACCAAACCCCAGAATATAATGGGGAGGTGTCCTACCTATCAAAGCTGCTCTGGAACATTGACTGAATAAATAATGGGTCTAGCCAATGGGACATCAACCATTGCTTTGTTGAATGCCTTTCGGGGCTTTGACTTGGGAATTTTGGCCGCCACTAAGCCTGTTTTTTGGTGCCAAAAGGGACCATATTTGAACTAGTGAGTAGCCCTGGAGAGGGACAAGGGGTTGGAAAAAAGGCAAGTTATTAAAGTAGTACAGTCTGTGACCGAGGCTGAGTTACTAGCTTGGTAATGAGCTAGATTACCAAAGTTTTTTCCCGCAGAATGAGTTTTTATAGTTGGTTGTAGCTGACCAGATTTGTTTATTTATGACTGAAGAGAGCTTGTAAAAACATATTGGACTTGCTGTGTTCTCGCTAATATCTCATAAAGAGAGCAGGCAGCAAGTGAACAGCACATATCAGGTGAATGCTCGGTCTTCACTGCAGCCTAAAAATTTAGTCTAAGGGGAAAGGCCAGCAACACTCCTGACACTTAAACACTGATATAAAGATTTCATTTTTACTGTTGTAGAAACACTGAAAGCTAACAGGCAAGGTGAATGCAGACACCAAAAACATGCTAATTAGTGCTAACATAAGAACCATTTACTAATATCATTTCAAAAGCCCAAAACACTGGGGTAGCCTGCAGACTTCCTTAACTGCCTTCTAGTACAATAAAGCTCACAGCAAGCTTTAGTATTGGGCTGTTATTGCCATAAAAAACACAAACATGGACGAGAGGTAAAGTGACTGAATTAGCTTAGGCGACAAGTAGCAGCTAGCAGCTACATCTTGTCATTGAAAGTAAACCCCAGTATGCACGATTTAAAACTTAATATAGATAAAAATGATAACAGTTAAGAGAAGTTACAGTTAGAGAAGTTTATTGTAGGGGCCAAAATTGTTTATTGCAAACATGTTTTATTTTGCTTTAAATTTGGTCTTTTAAATATGGGACCTCAGGGGTATTGACTCACTTTTGGAGGCAGCCTCAAGTGGTCACTGTAAGAACTGCATCTTTGGACACTTACAGGTTGGCCTCATTTTTAGCCCACAGGTTGATTTATTATTTGAGGTCTCACAATCACTGGCAAATGTTGCTGTCACTCTAAAAAAACACCTTCCTTCACCCTTACATGTAAGAATGATGTCCAGAGGGATGATAGGATTATTTACAGGAGACAGCTGCTTCTCTTGGAAAAGGAAGTCACCTGGTAGTTTATGCTGGACGGCTTGCATGGCATGATTAACATCTGTAACCAGGGCTGGTTATCCTTCATCTCTGCGGTGCAGGTTGTGGAAAGTGGTGCTCACTTGATAAAAAAAAGTCTGTAAAGATCATAAACAGGATAACAATGAATGAACTGTATTTTACACTCCGGCCTCCAGTGGCAGAGTTGATTCTTTATTAAAAGTACATTGTTCACACAGGACTCAAAAACCCACACAAATCTTCAAACAACCTGATTCATTCCTAATGTGGAAAGCAGCCTGAGGACAAAAAGTCCGAAAACAATTTTGGAGTTTCACAATATAGAGTATACTGCTAAAAGGCAAATGTCATGCTCTCGCCTTCGGGAAAGCATTTATTTTTTAACACAGATGTAAGACATCTCCCATTTGGTTCCAGGATACTCAGCCTGCCTTCTCTTTCTGTGTTGCTGTCTCCATAGCAACAAACTTCTCTATTTCCTCTCCACTGCTGCCTGTGCTGTTATGTGGCCAGGTGAAGGGACCTACATGCCATCCTTTTGACACACTAACCATGTCCTAATAGACCTGCTGATATCCTTGGTTAAGACAATTTGACACCAGGTAAAGCATGAAGGGAACAGACCCCGTGCAGGATAAATGGAAACAAACGGGCTGGAAGATAGAGCAGAAGTATCCAAGCAAGGTGCTGGTAGGAAACTGGGCAGAAGACAGACTTAAGGTGGGAATTGTGTCTGATCATTGTCTATTTCATCTTCCTTTCAAATGATTTTTCTTCATCAGGTTTTCAATTAGGGGGCTGCACGGTGGTGCTGTTACCTTACAGCGAGAAGACATTTTGTACGAATCCCCGTCGGACAAGAGCCTTTCTGTGTGTAGTTTGCATGTTTTCCCTGTGCATGCCGGTGTTCTCTCTGTTTAATCTGGCTTCCTCCCACAGTCCAAAGACATGCTTGTTAGTTAATTGGTGACTGTACATTTCCCATGTGAATGTGAGTGTTGCTGGTTGTCTGTCTATATATGTCAGCCCTGTGAATGACTGGAGACCACCTCCTGCCCGATGACAGCTGGGATCAGCTCCAGCCCCCTGCAACCTCAGATGGTAACAGCAATAAAGATAATGAATGGATGGATTCAGTGCACAAAGATTGCAAATCAGTGGACACATTTTAAGAAACTGTGTCCACGGATTTGTTAACCATTGGAACAGATTTACAAATGGCCTTTTATTTCTTCTGAATTGATCCTTCAAGGGATCTGTTCCTTTATGCACATAGTGAAGGGACATAAATCATGGCCAAGGCAGAAAAACATCGGGCATGTATCACTCTGTTTAGTTCTTATGTTTGTCTTAATTATCTTCATGTTTAATAAATACTTCTGCATTTGACATCCAAGTCTCTGAAAACGTCTTCATCCCAGATTTAGATTTCCTTCACAACCTTGTGCCAGTTTCGAGTTAAGATGTTCTGCTTACTTTTATTTTCTGTCTATTTTGGCAGCCTCTGTGGACGTCGCAGTATGTCTCGTATCTTTGATCTGTCCTTTATGTGCATGTGTATTATGCCACCTTTGTAAAACTTTGCAGGGTTAAATGTAAAGAAAGGCTCCTTTTGAGTGCATGATGTATCGCTTCGCCTGAATCTGACCCAGTGGCAGCAGTGACAGGCATTAAAAATAACTTCAAAGATATTGTCAGTCTTCTAGCTGAGGGCCTGTTTTGCTTTTGCAGGTCATATAAAGGCTTCAGTATTAAATTGAGACTATTCCATAACCACTTAAAAACTCCTCACAGTACGTAGAAGCATATAACTTCATTTGATAGTGAGAACACAGGCAATCCAGGCCTAACATTCAGCGGATCCAAAACATAATGGCACACCAGTGGCAGCCTGCCAAGGGTTTTGTAGCACCTCAGCTGGTAGTCAAATCTATAGCAGAGTGATTAGGCAGCCTGAGTTCAGCTACATCAGCACAGCCTCCTGGTGGGAGAGGCTCGAGCTGGAGACTAATTGCATTGACGTGAGGTGCAGCCATGGGCTGCTGGTTCAGGATCAGAGGGGAGAAATGACTTCAGAAATACTGTACAGCAGAGCGGATCGATAGTGAAGTGTGAGCTTTGCTGATCCTTTGCGCTGGGCTCATTGCTCAAGTCCCCTGTATATCCCCCTCTCCTCTTCTTCTTTACACTCACTGCGATGTCTGTTTTTTTCTGCCTGACACAGTTCACTCAGGAGCCAACGACAGCCAACAGCACCAATCGTGTAGACTACCGGCCCCACTGGGACTTCAAACCAGACGTTTCTGAGAGAAGATCGGCCCTGCTGAGAGCTGAGGTCAGCCTTTAACTGCTCATTCACGGCATTAACACCAATTGAATGCCTGTCACAGGCCTGCAAGTCAGGGCTTTCTTCTTCAGATCCTGGCCACTTCTGCATAATATTGACGGCCACGATAAGAACTTGTGATAAAACTCTTTATGGAGCAAGTTTCTGTTCACACTCAGCAGTAGAGAAATGTGTAAAATCATCAGTCCTACCGAGCACTTAAAGGCTAGTTAGAGCAATTTGCTGCTGTCACAGAGTGAGCCTTTGAAGATTATTGTAAAAGAGTGGGTCATGCCCTCTATATCTTAATCCACTGAAGCCAATGCATACAGGCCATGCTGAGTCGACTGTATTGTCTTCTAGGGGTTTCCATCCAAACTGCTATTTGCCCATGTTGGCCCACCACCCTATCATTACTCTGTCACGCAGTATGGAGAGAGCTATGGGTGGAAGCACAACAATGCTTTGCCCACTCTGCGACCCTGCCATCCCGGCAGCTTGACATGGCAGCTTGAAAGGACTGAACAGCCAATTTCTGGTAAGGCACAGAAATGCAGCCCAGATTTTTATTTATATAACACATTTCAAGCACAGAGGCAGCTCAAAGTTTTTTTTTTTACATGTGCAGACAGAGACGTCAGAATGCCATTTTAAATGACACGCAGTAAACACACAACATAAATACACTGAAGTACAGATTATAGTGGAGTCAGATGTTACAAGTTTACTTAAGAACAACAGTTTAAATCCAATCCATGCATTACAGCAGCTGTGAGGATGTTGTGTCCAGATGTCTTTTCTCTTTGCCGATCCTATCCTGTATGTTTGTGCAACCTTTTGCTCAGGTTGCTGTTAATCACTCTGTTGAAATCCAACCTGGTGTCTGCAGTTACAGGCATGAATAATTTCTCTGAAAAATAGTCAGTCTTTTAGTTGATGGTCTGTTTGCTTGTGTAAGTCAGATTAGGATGCATTCATAACCAGTATAAATCTCTTAGCAGTAGGTTTATTAACAGAGACAGACAGAGTTTTTAACATAGATCTTTAATTGGCTACCAACTGGCTGCCTCCTAAAGATCTCAGTTTCCCTCAGGGTTTATGTTCTTCAAGGCGATCAGAAATGCATTTTGGTCCAAGTTTTAAGTAACTAATGAGCCAGACTCTCTTGGTTCAGAGCTCAGAGTTTTAAATGAGCTGAAATCTTTTGCCCGTCTTTTCAGGAAAACCAGACAAGAGACCATTACAGCTGTCCAAGGCATGAATGAGTTTCTCTCAATCATGTCTGGTTATGAAAACGTTGAATCTTGCAAAATGTTTGACATGATAAATTGCCGATTTAGATAGGGCCTGAATGTGGCAGCTGAAGCTCAGAGTCTACAAAAGATTTTGTGTTTGCAGCTCTTAAATCAAGCCGAGCAATAACTTTTATTCGTTCCTCCTTGTTGCCAATCGCAGTGAATTAACACAAAGTGTAAGAGCACAGTTTAAATGCCATGCCACCACTGCCTGAAGGTACAGATTAAACACAGGAAATGATATATTAAACCATCCAGGCACCAGGGCTATGAGTGTAGAGCAAACACACTTTAGCAAATTAAATTTTGCATGGACCAGACACATCGGCAGTTGTGCTCATGAACAATTAAATCTGTGTGGCCCCAGATGCCTTTTTCTTGTTCCAGATCAGTCACCAGTGTAATTAATGGCTGCAGTAACATGGCAGTTAACTTTCTCCTCTCTGTGTTCGTTCACAGCCAACTTTGACGCGCTGCACTCCACAAAGCACTGTTTGGAAAAGCAGCAGTCACGCCTCCCATCGCTGACTGTGTACAGGTCAGTGTACCAGAGGCACCCACTTAGTGCCTTCTGCCAGAGCCGCTCTGCCAGGACCTCACGCATGCTCTCCAGCCACCTCCATACAGCCAATCACAACAACAAGGACCTGGATCTGAGACGGCGCCCACTGCTGCTAATCCCAGATCATTGTTTCAGTCCACAAATGCAACAGGTTTATAGACAGAACTGTTGCTCTTGAATTAGACATGTTAAGTTCACATGACAGAATGAGAACCACATTTCTTTATTTCTTAAAAATTAACAAAAGGTAAATTGTCGATAATGTTTGTTGTGTGAACTGGGATCAAAAAAGTTTTCTAATCCTTCTCTAATCTAAATGGGTTATCATTAACATTATACATGAAAACACACAGAGATTTTAAGATTTTACTGATCACTTTTAAAGCACTTATGGGTCTGGCTCCTAGCTACATAATTTGGGTTGCAAATTTGACATGGCTAAAAACCTGCATGCATGGCATATACTTTGTATTTTACATATGAAGCAATGCTCTTTGCATTAAATAAAATAAATAATTGTTGATCCAGTATGAAACAGGCTGCAGCCTTAAGGTGGAGCACTTCTGATCTTTCCATTGCTCTGAGAGGATCCGTCTCTAAAACTCACTTTTATAGACTTGCTGTTATGTGATGAAGTGTTTGTTTTCCCTTTATAGAAAATCTTCCATTCACTTTTTTGGCCCATCTTATTGCTTTTTAACCTTGTAATTTGCCTAATATCCTCAATTTATTTTATTGCATTTTGTTGCCTTTATTTATTTATTGTATTTATTTCTTTTTTTTTTATCTCTTAATTACATCCATGTTCTTACATCTTTGGTCCTCTTGTCCTTAGTTTATGTAACTGGGTTCTTGCTTTGCTTGGGTTCTACTGATGTTTAGGTTTATGATGTTGGATGGTTGTTAGGGTTCTAATGATGTTTAGATTAATTATGTTGGTTGCTTGTTTTGTTGGTTGGTTGCTTGTTTGGGTCCTAATGGTGTTTAGGATAATTTTGTTGGTTGGTTGTTTGGGTTCTTATTTTGTTTAGGTTGATCACGTTGGGTGGTTGTATGAATTCCAATGATGTTTCAGTTAATTATGTTAGTTGTTTTTTTGGGTTCTAATGATGTTTAGGTTTATTATGTTGGTTAGATTGATGTTTGGGTTCTAATGATTTTTAGGGTAATTATATTGGTTTGTTGGTTTTTTGGGTTCTAATTATGTTAAGATTAATTATGTAGGTTGTTTGGGTGCTTAAGCTGTCTTGGTTTTCTGTCATTTCTTTGGCTTCTTTTGTGTTTGGGTTCTCATACTTTGTTTGTATGATTCTTCTTTTCTGTGTCAACACTTTGTAAAACACTTGTTTTTAAAGGTGCTTTATAACCATTAAGGAATAGATGTATCATTACAGTTTTTGATTGAAAGACCTGGAATCATATTCAAGACATATCACACTTTTTAGTCATTAACTTTTTTTAATATTACTTTTTGCAAATACAAGAAAGTAGGCCAACACATGACTGCATTATAGTTTGATATTTTAATGATTATTTATTTATATATTTTAGTAAGATTCTTCTACCAAACACAATGTATAATTATTGTGGGCTTCATTTTAAATGGTACATTTATTGGCATGTCTGCAGATATAAAACACGTTTTTTTTTCCATGTGCAGAGTTACAAATAAAAGGTAAAATATTAATTTGACTGAATGCTTACGTCTAAATGAAGGGTAGCGGCTCAAAGCAAAAGCTGGAATACTCCTATCTTAGGTTGCCTTCATGCTGTTTGTTATTAAAGATGCTTGAATGAAAAAAGGTGTTGTTTGTGGCTCTTTTTAAAATTCTTACGTGCATGAAAAAAAGTGATTGAAGCATACCGTTAGGGAAATCAAAGGGAGTTAAAAAAAAGTACTTTAAATCTAATTACAAAGCTGGAAGGATGTTTACTGTGTGTTGAGGAGTTTCAGTGTTTGTACGTTTGAGTGTAAGTGTGTGTGTGTGTGTGTGTGTGTGTGTGTGTGTAAGAAGAAGAAAGGAAGGGGCTATAAATTATATTCTTCTTTCCAGGGGATAATTGCATTTTCAAATTCTTTCTCTCTTCACGGTTAATATCTGTAACTCAGAAATGGCTGTAAGTGTTACCTAGATATCCTGTGGGGGCAAAAGGGAGGGGGGTTTATAGTAAAACAAGTGTTGATGCCAGAGCTTATCTGAGTACAACTGTAAAACCATGAAGCCCTGAGTCATCCCAGGCAACATCTGAGGGGACATGTCTAAGTCCCTTTCCATTCAATGTTTAGTTACAGCAAATCAAAGTGTTTAATTAGAAAGAATCAAAGATGCTTATGTTTGATGGTCAACCATCTGTGTCTGCCTCCCGTTTCCCCGCCTGCCTGCTGCCTTCAGGTACAGCTGAAGCCCTCTGTTTCACACGCTATTTACGTGTCAGTCACTACGCTGCCGTGTGCTGCAGATGCTCGCATGTCACACGACGCCTTTGTGTTGTGGGAAATGAATAAAACAACCCAACATGTCTTCACTGAAAGCGGTTTGCCCTGCAAGCCACATGATGGTGCTATAGCAGCACGTCACTCTCTGAAACTTGTCAGTGTGTCTTTTGAAGGCCTCATTATGGTGTGTGCAAATGTGCAAACAATGAGGGATTTAATATTTGTATCACACTTACGCCTATTTCCATTCTTAATGATTTGCTTTACACTTAGAAAAATAACCCCCAAGTGGGAAGATTGTTTCCTATTCATCATAAATACTGGAATAGACATTTGGCATGACACCATTATTAAGTCATAATGGAATATTGTTCAATGAATGACAAATTCATATATTTCTCTGATGTTTATAAAACAATGCATAACACAGCAAATAGGTTAAGTTGGTACAGTAAAAACAAGATTTAAACAAATATATTTATTTCTGTCTACCAGTAGGGTGACTTACATCAGTAAAAAAAAAAAAAAACTGCAGGTGCAAATCTTTTGGAAGAGTTTCAAAAGTAGCAACACATGCTTTTAGAAGCTCTCGTATTCATCCTGTATGACAAACCCATTTACACCCTGTCATACTTAAAGAGCCAGTGTAGATAATTGCATTGTATCCAGGCCACTGTGTAAGTTATATTATGCAGCCTATAGTGCAGCACTATGATAGATTATGACTACATTGCCCATTCTCTGTAATATGTTAGAGTTGAATGAACTCATTTACTCTGAGACTTACTTATGAATTATCTTAACAGCGAAAGAGGTTAAGCATCTGGAATGAAATAAAAGTAGTTTAATGGCAGGAAGGAGTGGCAAATCAAAGAAGCTACAATTTACATGGCAGCACAGCCTGCGTAAATCTAAGCAAACAGTAGTTTAAGAGTCTAATATTTTACATCTACTGCCAGGGAGTGAGGCATTAAAAACACACATTTCTTTGTGCAATTCCCTGATCCAAAAAAAAAAGAAGCTATACAAGAAACACTAGCCTTGTCTTTTTGTGGAAAGGTTATCTTTGTAAAAGCTCAAAGAAATGACAACATAGTGGTTGAAATTTTGCAATAACATTGCGTAGGTTGAAAGTAAAACCAAGAGAAGCGAAATCCACTCCAAGAAACTTGATGCAAAGTGTCCTCTTGTAGGAATACTCCATCACTACCTAATCTTATCATCGATGGAGAACTGAGTCCTTGTTACACGCTGGTTTGCCGAGGCTTCTTATCAGGGAGCGAAAGGACAAAGGGGAAAAGGATGCCCTTAGCTGCAGAGAGGACACTCAAATTCTCATCTGTAAAACCTGGAGAGATCTCATCAGCCCCAAACCTCATGGTGAACTGGTGGCTGACGCAGTAGATTGTGTCGTCCATTGTGGTACAATGGAAAACAGGGCAATGCAGAATACGGTTGAAGCTGCACTTGTACCACAGTCGAGCCACTGTATGGTAGCGATACACGCTGAGACCCAGCAGAGGGTGAACTTCAAACCGGTACAAAAATCTCCCCACTGCCACCATATCTACTGTTTTGTCTTTGCCTGCTGCTAACAGACCTGGCTTCCAGGTGTTGGTTTTGGGGCTGTAGCGCAGAAGCATATACCTCAGAGTTCCCCCAGAAACAAAGAGCTCCCCGTTGCACACTGTGACGTGATGAGCTACAGCAAATGTATCATTTGGCAGCGGGGCCACAAATGTCCATCTGTCCAATCGTGGGTCATAGCGTTCCACCGAGGAGAGGCACTCCCCTCCGATGGCGTAAATGTAGCCCTCCAGAGCAGCCAGTTTGCAGCGGGGCCTGGCTACATTCATAGGGCTGATCTCTTTCCAAATTGATGTCAAAGGATTGTAGCAAAACACCCGCTTTGAGGGTGTCATTTCTCTGTCTGTGCCTTGGCAGCCCACTGCCACATATAAGTAGTTATCCATTGTGCACATGGCACAAGCTTTAGAGATGACCTCCTGAGGGATCGGGCAGAGTGTGTGCCAGGCGTCTTTGTAGTCATCATAATAGTACACTGCACTGGATGTCCTCCTCTGCTCTGTTTCTGCCGTCTGCCCTCCTGTGTTTTGTGCCCAGTCTTGAGGATCCATATCTGCCACCATTACAAACCTCCTTCCTCTCATTCTCTGCTTCCTGATTTGCTCCCGCTCATCAGCCATTAGCCGCCCATAAAGGTTGGGGTCCATGAGCACCTGGAGGTAGTTGTCTGACATGACTCCCAGGGCTGCTCGCTGCACAGACGCCTCGCCGTGTTTCTTTGCCAGGCACAGAGTCTCCAAACAGTTACCCAGATCAAGTTTACTCTTTAGGCTTTCCAAATCTGCAGCGTCAAGTGCTGGAAGGTGTAAAAATGGAGCCCCTGCTACTGTCTCTGGATCGGCTGCCTCACTCACACTGCTCTCTGTAGAGGAAAAGATCATGTGGTAAACAGTGATGGACTCATTGCTGGCTGAGGTCAGAGAGTGAGTCATTCGAGTTGAGGCGCTTGATGCCAGAGAGGGGATGGGAAGTTCAGACTGCTCAGCTGCAGACAGATAGCTCTCCTTGCGTAGGAGTGGAGGCCTTGCAGGGTGCCTCAGCTCAGGACTTCGCAGAGAGGAAGGATCGTCAGCAGTGCTTTGTGGTAGAACCAGATCACGCATAATAATGGGGCTCAAGGAGGGAGAATCTGTGCTACAACTTCTAAACTCCACTGGCTGTGATTCAGAGCTCCTCTCAAACTGACCCGGTGCTGTAGTCGAGTCAGTAATAGAGTGAGAGGAGGACTCGACATAGTAATCATATATCTTTCCGCGCACAACCCAGTCTTTTTTTCCTTCCAGCACAACGTTAGCATCCTCCACTTTGATCTCTGCCTTGGAGAGGAAGCTGGAGTAGGCCCCCTGGCGCTCCAAGTCCTGCCTCAACTCCCTGCTCACACCCACACTGCCCTCCAGCTTCTGCAGAAAGCAAGGAGAGCGGCGTCCCGTTGTACTGGCCATCCCACTCTCTGTTGGATGAGGAAGGTTCAAAGCAGAGCCAAATGAAATATTTCTGGTGGCATCCTCTGCCTGCTTTTGAAGAGTGAGTAGCTCCTCTTTCATGCTGATATTTTGGTCGCTATTTGACAAACTAAATGCATCCTCACTCTGTTCAGCTCGGCATAGATGAGCTTCTGTTGTCGTTTCTTTGGTGCTGCCGGGCGTCAGGTGATCTTTGTGGGAAGGTTTGGATCGCTTACCCCCATCGTCCGTTTCACAGTTTGGTAAGCTTTGACATCGTAGCGTCGTCTTGCAGTTTTGGCATTTAGCCTTTCCTGGCTCTTTGTTGTCCTTAACAGAGAGCGGAGTTTTCTTTGCATCCCTGGAGCTGTAAAACTTGAAGGCCCACGAAACCAGCAGCACGCCAGCCACGGAGAGACTCAGTTTCAACAGCAGCTGCATGTCGAACTGGACTCCCAAAAGCTCCGCAATGGGCATAGCTGTGTGTCAGTGGTGGTGGCGTAGATCGGTTGACTGGTCCTATTGAATGTTATGGTCGATGCATCTCAGCTGACAAAGCTTGTTGTCTGGCTTTCATTGTAAAAGAGCTGCTGTGATCTGATGACTGTTCCTCTTTGCCTGAAGGATCAGGTGTAAAATGATACCTGCTCAGGTACTATTTGCATCCCTGGCTCTAAAGAGGCGGGGCGCCGGTCACGCACCGCCTGCAGCTAGTCAGAAGCACATTCAGAAACCATACACAGGATATGTAAATACACATAAGATCAATATTTGCTTATGCAATTTGCTGACTCACCAAAGCATTTCCCATGAATGTCATCTAAGAACTCTGGTCAAAAACTTCCTGAATGCACTTGAATCCTTATTTTCTGTGAGTTTTGTTGTTTCTTTCGCATCTTATTCTTAGTACAGGAGGCATTCAGGTCATACTTTATAGTGTCAGTTTCTGATAATAGCCACAAAAATATTATGACAGATCACGCGCCTTCACTTGTTCAAACACATGGCTGGAGCTGCGGGAGGAAAACATGGTTTGAATAAGGGGTGGGGAGTGATGATAGCTGACATTTATCAAATACTTAATAACCAGGATACATCTGTTTGCACAGCCATGCCACAGATCAAAGGTCCTTTTGTGTGACGGTGCAGATGCTTAAATGACTCTTTGGGAAGAAAAGCTGAAGATTCCTGTTGCAAAATCTAATGTCAGCCACTTGATATGATAAGCACACAGCACTGTAAATAATATAGATAACCGTCTGAAGGATGCCAGATGGAGAGATGTCTACAGAGAAACCCGGAAGTGTCATTCATTTCTATACAGTACGCTGAGATGCAAACCCTCCTCTCCTGTCACACGGGAGGCTTGTCACTCAGTCCCCGCTGTCAGGCTGTCATTTGTGTTGTTGATAACACACTCAAGCAAGGCTGCGGTCAACAAGAGAGCAGCGTTTATATTAAAAGCACTCTGTGTGGTGCATTTTGAAGGAGAGACATACGGAGGGCGTGTTTTGTGTCCAAGGCTGCTGTTTTGTTATCCGATAGCCGAGCCAGCAGATGAAATAAAGGGAAACTGGATTCTGCAAGCATGGTTGACTACTGAATAATTCACAGTTAGGCCAAAGAGGCTTCTTTTCATCCTCACCATTGCTCCTAGGTCAGGTGAACCATTCACAACACTGCTGAGAAAAAAAAAAAAAAAGAAAAACATTCTGCCCAGCCATGTGCATTGTTGCATGGAGCCACTTTCACCTCGTCTTGCTTGTGCCATCCATGATTAGTGTGCAACATGCAGCTGAACAAGAACAGAAGGCCAAAGAGTCGTTTTTTTAACAGGTGTTTCCGGCTTTTTTTCCTGTAATAAATATGCAGATTAGTGAAGCATTGGCAGAAAAGGGATGTAGGCGGTTAAACACAAAAAGAAAATAAAGCCTATTTTTTTCTGACCATCATATTTCAGTCCTCATTTTGTAAAGGGATTGAAAGGATAACTGATAAAGCCACACCATTACAAAAGCATGAACAGCCTTGACTTATAATGAGCATAGAGAATCATTTCTTTATGTCTGAAAAGGAGAGGGAAAAAGATTAAGTCATTTATTCAAAAAGCTCCATTTCATTCACCTATTTGATCTTTTTGGTGTAAAAAAACATCGTTGTACATGTTTAAACTACACTTTAAATACATGGGTTGTTTACACATATTAATAATTTGTGGCTATAAGTACAGCACAATAATGTCCACACAGACAAAGTGATGATGTACTTCTCTTTTTGCATGATGATTCTGTGAAGACAATCTGCACATTATCTAATGCGTTCAGAAATGGTAGCAGACCTGTTTTTCGTCTCTTGAATGTGAAGAGAATGGTAACAAGCAAAAAAAACAGCACAGAAGTGCCTCTTGAATTAAAATTAAAATCACGGCTGAGTTATAATGCTTTACAGTGGGTGGGCAAGGATTGACGTCCTATGCTTTCCTCACTGGAAAATAATAAATTCAAAGCGCATATGACTGACTACTAATAAGGTTTCTCTCTCATCTCCACAACGCAGGAATATGGATTGTACTTTGGCAAGGTGAGCCAATGTCCCAATATTCGACTCAGCTTTGAGAAAGTCTCACCTTAGCTCCAACCTGGTTTAAACCTTAATCTCTTAATACATTTTGTGTCCTTAGAAAAGCTTCAACTGCAATTTTTGTGAAGACCAAAAAAAAATGCAGGATAAGTCTGCAGTAAGAGTTTGCAAATTGAAAGGGTTAAAAGCAATATGGGAATCTCCTTGAAGTCATTTTGGGGTCAGTACAATCAAAAAGCCAAAGTCTTTGTCTCTCTGCAGGGGCACACTCAGTAAGTTTGCATGCAGCTAGGAATAGTCTGTGTATTAGTCGGCCAACTAAAACGAAACCTTTGAAATATGTGCAGACATGTTAGACCAACTGAAATCGTAAGTCGGACTGTCACACCTAGATAAGGTATTTGGGGGTCGATGTACTCTTGCTTGTTTACACCTCAATTGGTCCCAAACTGGCCCAGGTTTTCTGAGCATACTCCACAAACCCTGCACTGGACTTTGACCCGGAAGTCCCAGCAATAGGTAGAAGACTAAGGTATCAACACAGTGATTGCTAGAGCAAGTGCCACCCATTTTTGGACAGGTGAGCAGACACTGTTTATGTTGTGTCCGCTGAAGGAGTCAAACAAATTGAAACACATGAATGGAAGAAAGACATGGGAAGGCGACTGTAGATTGTTTGGTATGTGATGTAAAGGCCCTGACACACCAAGCACCAAGACTATAAAGAACTAGTGGTGACAAAGGCCGACTTTGGTGTCGCCTTACGTCGCCTTTTGTCTTTGCCAAAAAGTTGCACATGAACACACCGCAAAGACGACAGCCGACGGCCAACCACCATGCATGAGAGACGATTATCTGATGTTATGATACGAGAAGACCATTTTCTCACCCCTGTTGCGCACCCCTACTATTAAAGGCACTTCTAATCGGGAATATTGTCTGATTAATCAACATGTTGAATCGGTCGAAATGGCAGACGGCGGCCGACGGGTAGCGACGGAGCGGACACACCAGCAAAAACTAGGGTGACTATCACTCACAGACGGTCCAACCAGGACCAACGGCCGACGACCTCCATGGTATGTCAGGGCCTTAATAGGTCAACTACAAAAATAGAAACTATCTGAAGGGGGCTTGTATACTGGGGCAAAGACAGTGGTGGGCCTAGTCGACCTTTATCTGTGGCTAGACCTAACTGTGCATGTTAACATACTGACTGTCCTTCAAATCTCTTTATATGGTGTCATTTTTATGACTTGAATGGTGGCCAATCCTTGCAGTATTTCAGATGTATCCAATAAGGTCTAATAATGTGTTCATTATCAGAAATGTATTTTCTATCTGGCTCCCACTGCAGTCCATAAAATGCATCACGTAATTGGGTAAAGAGACATTTTGATATCACTCATTGTAATCAGGCGTTGGCTTGTTATGAACTTGCACAAATTATTAACAGAGGCTTTCACAGATCCTGTTGCACCATACAATAGATTCCAGATTACAATACAATCAATGGTCAATGTGTGGCCAAATCTTGATGGTGATCAGACATTTTTAGCAGATCTTCTTGGGTGTCTTTTGAGAGGAACTAATTGACACCTTGCAGCCAATAAGAACCGATGATTAAATTTGAATATTATTGCCTGCACCCAGCATCAAAGATGTCTGCTGCTGGTTTTATACTACCAAACATATGTTTAATGATCAAACACAGAGTTATAAGTAAAGTCAAGGCTTGTAAGGTTTATCATCTCTCCATTTTTAATACAGGTGAAATGAAACAAATGCAACAACCCTGTTTACACACGCTGTCTTAGGTGAGCGCCTCCCTGGAAATGGCGGCTAAAATGATCCTACTAGTACTGTAAATGTCTGGGTAAGAGTTACGTATCGTACACAATGTAGGTCACTTAAGATAGTATGTCACAAGTAAATAACTCGGTTACAGGCCAGTGACAATGAGTTGCAGCTCCGTCATTTGCAACACACCAAAAAGGAGAAAGAATCTTCAAACGTCACATGCACCACAACCCCAAAACAGCAGACATATGTTAGGTAATTTTTTCACTCTGTCCTTGGAGACCTGCCATGAAGATATAAAAAGCCCAAATGAGAAACAGAAAGGCTGTTAATGTTACTGTCCTTTCAGCCAAGAACGAAGTCTGAAAACAGTGTTGAATGAAGTACAAACAAAAGTGGAGGAGAAGTGTAAACTCCCAACAATTCTCACAACCAGCCCTCACCAGAACCCATATAACTTCTTTAATTATTTTCAATATTTACACTGATGTACACAAAATACACTCAAAAAGGAGATTTTTTTTTTCCCAGTTTCTCAATGTGTTTAAATCCTCTGGTACATTCCGAGCCTTCGGGAACAAGAAAAAAAAGGAAAACTTGTATATTAATAAAAAAAGAATGTTCTCTTGGAGCATCTGTGTTTGTTCCCCCCACAGGTTTATCAGCTTGTTGCTAATCAGGTGCATCCCAGGACATGAAAAAGAAGGGCGTGGTTGATATGGAGCCTAAGCCAGTTCCACTTGTCACATTTTAACCACATTTTGACTCATCGAAATAAAATGCTTTGTTCTTATCTGTTTTAAATCAACTGATTTTATTGATCAACAGGCAGACGTGGGACAAGAAACAAAAGAAGGTGTAACTGGGCGGGGCTATATAGGAGGTCGTCATGTTCATTATGTCGGTCTTTCTTTTTTTTTTTTTTTGTCATTATCTCGGTTATTATTTTGTTACAAAAAAAAAACAGTGGAGCGCCATCCTGTGGTGGAAATGTTTCCTCATCGACTGACGCATGGAGGGCCCGTTGGTGACCGGAGAAGGCTTGCAGGATTTGTGTGTGCGGATGTTGTGTAAGAAGGGCAAGTATATGTGTGTGTGTGTGTGTGTGTGTGTGTGTGTGTGTGTGTGTGTGTGTGTGTGTGTGTGTGTGTGTGTGTGTGTGTGTGTGTGTGTGTGTGTGTGTGTGTGAGTGTCTCGGATGAGGGGTTTCACGTCAGTTCCACTGTCACTGTGAGGACAAGTGCCATCGAAGTAAGTCCGAGCATGTCAATGCGAGAGGCTCCATCTGTGGAAAAATCAAAGAGCAGTTGGTCAGACGGGGACACAGAGGCTTCTCTTCATCTCCAGGAAAGGCATATATTTAAAACAGTGCGCTATTCCATTAATCCCTATATTTATGGCCCATAAACATGTTAAAAAGTAAGGAATATGGTTTTGTGTGATATAACCTTTTACATTTCATTGACTGCTTTAAGGTAAACCCTGATGCATCTGATTAATCCTGCGGAAATATTGGATTTTAGTACTTCAGATGTGATTTAACATCCAATAAATCAATGTTATGTGACATACCTTTCAATTCTTCAGTTATTTTTGAAGCCACAAAGTACTCCATGGTGTGTATATATATTATGATAATCTTTTTTCTTATAATATTTATTTACATCTTAACCAGAGGCACTGCACGTCAACAGGCAAGGCAGGCAACTGCTTGGGGCCCCAGACCAGTAGGGGGCCCCTGAGGGCTAACAGACTTAAACCCAAACACTGGTCCAAAATGTGCAAATTTTGCAACAATGGTAGGAAAAAAACCTCCATATAGGGACCACATCTGATAGCAATCACTCTCGTTGCCCTGCTAAGCTTTGCATGCATCATTGCTGTGAAAACCAAAGTTTGTCAATGGATGTCAACAAAGAAAAATAAAGAGGAATGATATGCAACAGGAGAGAAAAGAGGAAGAGGAGTAAGTGTTTGGACACTGACAGACATGATGGTGATGCCCCAACAGACTCTAGAATCATACTGGTCTTAGCAGTTAGTGGTCATCCTGCTTTCTCCTACCAGTCAATCATATCGTATCACTAACTGCTGGTGAAAATGTAAATAAAGATTGTTTTTTTGCACCACGAATCTACCCCGCAACATAATTTTTCAGACATTTAGTAAAACATAAAAAAAAAAAAAAATCAGTCTTCTCTCTGACAGTCTCGTTTGCTTTTGTAGGTCATGAAGAGCCATCAATATTAATTTCAGTCTGTTTCATAACCAGCTAAAAATAAAACAATGGATTCAACAATCAAATAAGTGACTGCAAGACATAAATACACAACCTGGAGTTACCTCTCATACTCATAATATGTGAACTATAGATATTATCATCAATGTATTATACGAATGAAGTGAATTTGAGTGATGTAACCTTATTTTTCTTAAAGGTACACCACAGCACATTTGTTTAATCCTGAATAAGCTGCAGGGTATATGCAAAATATAATGAAAATACATTTCATAACATAGAATTTAAATTGAAAGTCTTTTTTGAAAGCCACTGCAGTACTCCATAATGTGATTCTGTTATATGATCGAACAATTACCAAGATGTTTTTTTCTCATTAGATGAGACCTTTTCTATCTTGTTCTACTATTAATAAAATACTACGATACTGACAGTTAAATAAGAACTAAAAGGTACTATGTTGGCAGTTTATACAACTCTATAGCATATACGACAGACTTGAGCTGGACGAGGTAAAACCCAGTTTTAATGGGGGAAAACTAATAAGGAAACCAGATCCGACAGACAAGCAATAGATGTCACGTGACTAGATCTATCGTCAACATAGAAAAGAAACATAGATCCCAGAGGGTATTGACATAGAGTATATGGGTTACCTCTACACCGATACTCCGACATGTCCCCACATTGCCTTTGGTGCAGTTGAGACAAACACAAATGTTATCTTTCTATCCAAATATTTGAAGGAAAAAAAAAACTACTGAGCTATGAGGAGTGAAGCTCTAATTTAATTTTAACTTTATTTTGAACGCTGTTGTTCTATTGCACCACAATGTGGAGACTAGATTACAGAGAAGAGATCAGCTTTATGCTGCGATTGTTTTTCCTGCAGCTCCCTGGTGGGAACGTTTCGGAGAGGACAGAGGAACCCAGAGCTGCTGCAGGAGGAAAAACCTGCGACTGACTGCAGGTGTGGCTTTGCTTACATAACCAACAGATTGTTTGGTCGAGGCTACACTACAACAAACACAATGTGAGCATGACCGAAATTCAGGTGTGGCTGTGCTCAGGAGATATAACATTAGATCTTGTAGGGGTTTAGACTCATCAGTTGATTGAGTTCTGTGTTCACAGACTGAATAAAATAAACATACTCATGACATGAATTTACTTTTGAATTTGTCCATTGTTCAGCTTCAATAGAAGTCAGCAGGGAAGTGCAAACATCCTCACTCAGCATGTATATATTTTACCCTTTGGATGGAGATCTGTCTATAATGGCCATGTTTTCACATGATTTTGATGCAGTTAGAAGAAGCTCAAGCTAGTTATTATCTGCAGATGAATTGGTGCAAATTTTGCAGTGAACAAAACACACCATTTTTTTTTTTTTTTTAATTCAGGATAGACATGCTGGAAACTACGGAGCCCCTGAAGTACCAAAAAAATCTATATTATCTTGTGCGCACAAGATAATCATAATGAGTAAAACAAAAATATCGGCATGTAGACTTATAATTATTATCATATTATAGCCATATAAACCCATTGTGGACTTGCACAATTTTTGTTTTTTATATTTCAATTCATATCATTATAGAAAAAACACATAGCATATATCACACAGCATTTTTACTATCAGGGTTTTGCCCAAATGATAAAAATGGCTTTTTACGAATTATAGACTGAAGGAAAGAACAACGACATAGGAACCATGGCATCACCCATTATGGTGTAAATCTCCCCTCCTGTTTGGCATTTTAGCATTCATTATGTATTTCTTGAGTCAGAATTACCATATTTGGAAAACATGGTGGAAATGTTATTCTAAATTTCCGTCCTTGTTGATCGGCCTCTGTAGTAGTGTTTTTTTATTCACAGATAAAAACCCCCGCTAATATATCGTCCATTTGACACTAAATGGAACTTGCCATACCAGGCAAAAGTATACTTGACCGGTGCAATTAAGCCAAATCTTTACAATCATAATAAATCCACTGAGAATCGTTAATCATTTTCCCATCTGGTTTCTTAAATTCTGACTTATCTTTTACAACCAGTTAAGTTACCCCCTTGCTGCCGAGTAGAAAGAATGCAGGTTTGAGTCATTTCCACATTGGTTTCACATTTAAAACCAATTGGCTACATCAACTTGTTATACACCGTCTATGACTATGATGTTATTATATTGCATGCACTCTGAGATATGTTGTTTGTTAGCAGTTTGATGATAAAGAATTGGATCATATGTTTCTCAGAATTGTTTAAATCAAACTATCAGGGTTTCATCACGATTTCTAATCCATGTTAATCTCCACAGAAGTGACATTTTGTGTTCAGCATATTACACTCTGCTTATAGGAAGTCATAACACATTAGACAACAACAACTAGATCTTCTCAATAAGTACTTTATTGCTTTCTGAAATGGGCCCATCCAACCAGAAGATCATCATCTGAGGTCCCCTCTCAGTCTACAATCAGAGATGCAAGTCGCCCAGCCATCTGTTTGCCTTCAGTTTTTGGCTCAGACCTCAGTGCATTTCTGCCAACCTGAATATCAACTGGGACTCATTTCTGTGGCGGTGTGCTCTTTTTAATAAGGATCACTCCACCTCAGCCATGCTGGACTGAAAATGCAAGCGGAAAACATATCACTTTCTTTTAGCATATGACTGCTTTCACTCCAGAGAAAGTTTAAAAACGAGTTAGCTGCCTTTACAGAACCTCTCTATATTTCTGACTGTGGCTGCGACACATCTGTTTGTACTGCTACAACTCATGCTTCCTGTCTTTGATCTGACCTCTGGTCCAAAAGAGGATTTTAATTTTAATTTTGCAAGGCACTATGGGAAATGGCAGCCTGGCAGTAGCACGTCTGCCAAAAAAGAAGAAAAAAAGAAAATGTAGATTACTTGACTGTGGCTGCTGGCATTTATGGTATTGTTATCTTTCAGTGTCTTTGTTAATTGTGATGAATTTTCCTTTATGATTGCACAACCATGTCCGAGCCAAGATGATGAGCAGCCACAGATAAGAAGACAACGGAAAACTTTTGATCCTCACATCTGCCTAGTATGTCAGGAATCATAGTATATGGTTAAAAAAATGTGTAACGTCTTTTTCCTGAATTTCACTTGTCGCTTCAATTCTGTTATAAGCAAAGGTCAACCTCTGTTGAAGGAAATGAAGCCAATGTGGAAAGGAAAACAAAAATGAGTATCTACTTGAGGCTGGCTGGAAAAGCCCAGGATACTCCATGAACACTTGTATAAATATCCCCATTTTTTGCAGCAGAAATACAACATTTTATCACCTGGTTTATAAAATGGTTTTGGTCTGAAAAGCCATTTCCTTTATTGCTACACGCTGTAGGGGGGTGCAATGTTTTTTGTGACACATCCATCTAGATTTAATCAAGCCTAAACATTTTAAATTTGCATGAGGGGCGTATCTGAGATGACTGACAGGTGGACACATTGATGTTGTTTGCTAGGGGATTTCAGAAACCCCCTGAACTCCCTTTTGTATTGATGAAAAAGTGATTTGGGGATAGCATTCCCAGTATGGTGTCTCTAGAGGGATGTAACTGAGACTAGGTCCACATTTTATAAAGCCTATGGTTTAAAAGTAGTAAAAAATCATATTTGACCGTAGCACTAACCAAACTCTAAGTGAAAGTAAACCTCTATAACTCTTACAAAACCAAGTTCAAAAGCACTTTAGTTTTCTACTCAATCTACCATGTACATGAAAAATACTCATTTCAATTGGTCACTACGCGCAACAATACACCTTTCTAACCATATGTTAGCTAGCAGTTAGCATAAACATGCAACATTAGCTAAGATCAGCCAATGTTGTTGTTACACATTTGAATGCAACGCTAAATAACGACTTTGTAGCCAGCCTTTGCTCAGCAATCACAGCAACAACAAAAAATGGAACAGCAGGCACATGAACTAAACTACAGCAGCATAAAAAGATAACTGGGATCCACACTCAACAGTAAAATGGAGAAAAAGCTGTTCATTCTAGGCCTGCAAGTGACGCTAATTCTGTGTGTAATCAGTCACAAAGCTGTTTTTCTTACAACTGGATTGTGAATTGTATTGTGTAAAATATTTTCTCCATAAATCCGAACATGACCACACCGTATTGGAAAGTTTACAGATCTTTCAATGACAGTGTTTATCATTTGAATTGAACCTAATCTCAGATACTTTTAGAAGCTTACTATGATGTGCATGAGACCTGGTTTCAGAAGGCTATTGTTGGTTTGGATTTACAGCTTGAGCCACACAATGCATCATAATGCATCTTGTTGTATGGGGGCTGGAAATTTGACAAAGATGGATGAACTTAATACCACTTGAGAAGCATAATTTTCTCTTTTTTGTGGACTGAAGGGAGTTGTCCCTCCCACTTGCACCAGGCCAGGAGTTGTGTATTCAGCCATTAAGGCATCAGGCACGTGTGTGGTGACCTCTCGGGGAAGTGTTATACACCAATTTGAATTGCATGCACGGCATGTCTGTGCGTCCATGCTGACCTGATTCTGTCCTTGCTGTGACACACCTGCTCCTGCGCTTACCAGAGCATTTGCATATTCAGATTTGCATCCTTAAGATACGACTAGCAGCCACGGAAAAGGCAGGGGAAAAAGTAGAGAGAGAGGAGGAGAAGAGGGGGAAAACAAAGTGCGTATGGGGAAAGAGAGATGGATAAACTGAGTGCAGGAGAGGACGAGAGACAAATAATGAGATGTTTTTAAAGCAGGAAACAGGAAAAGAGAGAGGGAAAGAGTGAGTGAGGCTGGCTACATGACTGTTCAAATCTCATGTGAATGGGGCAGTTCAGCTTAAAGACAGCTCTGCCCGCCATCTGCTGTGGAAGCTGTTCACACTGTACACTGGAACATGAGTGTCACACACATGCATGAGGGATTATACATTGTGCACCGAAACCATTCAAATGCATTTTACAGGTCATCAGCAACAGCTCATTGTGCAGCCATAACAATGCAGGTGTTTCAGTGCTTCCTGTTGGTTGCGGCAGCTGCATTTTTACATTTAGTGCACATTACCGGTGCATTTTACCAAATGACATCAGGAAGTCTTTCACTTAGAACTTGTTACTGCTAACTAGACACATATTACAAGTGCTTACAGCCGTTTATAAAGCTTGTCATTTAGCAGAGATCCTGGATGAGGTGTTAAAGAGTCTCCTCCTAAAACTAATTCAGAGTCTTTTTCAAGCATATATAAACCCTGATTGATATTTCTAAGAGTCTTATTTCAGTCTTAATACTTCCGATGCACATCTGAGAAGACTCCAAACCCTGTCTCCTATTTATTTATTTATTTATGTATTTATTTATGTGTTTGCACAAAAGACATGCAATAGTTGAAGACATAAAATACAACTTCCACAATGAAATATAGAAGAAAGACTTGTGCTGGTGAAAACCTATAATAAACCTCACCATATTAGTCAGAAATGCTGCAGTATTATCTGCACTGACCATGAGACTTGAGTGCCCTGAAAGATTACATCAGAATGGTGTGCTTGGCTGTAGAGAACAGTAGGAAATAAAATATGACAGAAGGGAGAGGTAGGGAGAAATAAGGTGGTGAGAAAGGGTTTGAAAAAAAAAAAATGCCTGAAACTGAAAGAGCGTTTGGCACAGAAATGTAGACAGAAAGTGAGTATGAAAAAGTCAGAGAAGGAGGCGAGGAAAGACAGACAGAAAGATTGAAGCAGAATGAGAGAGGGAGTGGCAGGAAAAAAAAAAGGAGGAGAGATGGAGAGGTTGTTGTCACAGCCCTGCGGCTTCTCCTGACAATCCCTCATCTTTACATATGATAATCTAGAAGCCGCAAATGAGCCACTGCTCCACATACGAAACACCAATAATCTCGCACTCAACCAAAAGTGACAGGCTCGGTTAGTCATTGGAAGAGGCTTGCTGCTGCTGCTGCTGCTGCTGCTGCTGAAGATTAATCCTGCCTGAATCACTCTCACACGCTCTATCAGGGAGAATGCATTCAGGGCAGAATGAGAAACATCCACCTGTCAATACTTGAATGTGAAAACCACAATCTGCCAAAGAATTTGCTTCTCCTGATCAGTGCCAGATTTCTGCACACATCCTCTGTCGGAACAGACGGCATGAGTGTCACATTTTGTTCCCGTATCACACACATACAGTGTCTCTGGAAACATGATGATCAAGTGATACAGCAGGAACCATGAGATGTATTAAAATGACACCACACTCAAACATAGTCATTTGTGCTGCTGGAGATACTTACTGTTTGGATTCTGTGTGTTTTTCATCATGCTTGGATTCTCTGCAGGAAACAAAGCAGAAAAAAAAAAAAGATCAACTGTGAGACGATGACAAAAAAATGTGGCCGTTACTGAGACCCTGAACGAGTAAAGGAAGGGAATTAATAAGAGGATAAAGAGCGTGAGCAGGAGACAAACAGAGGGGAAAAAGACAGATAGTCATGTCTGACAGAGGTTGTAGCTTTTCTAATGACGCTGAACTGAAGTTCCTGCAGCACACGGTAAATGGCACATCCCCGGTGAGAGAGACCGGGGCCTGTTAATGGAACTGGGAACACAGAGCGCTGCACCAGAACAACCAGGACACTATTAGCAGCAGAGAGATCAGGAAACAACAGACTTTTATAGAGTTTGGAAGCAACAAATAATTCAGTAATGATCCGAAGCCGAGTTTTAAGGGAGCTACCGAGCCTTAAGAGGTCATGCATCCATTGATTTGATTTGACGCCGCTTTCCCGGTCATAATCAGTACATCTAAGTTGTTTTCTGGGACGCTTGACTTATTCACCTCGTTATTTTGGACAATGATGCTGGCTTTCCCATGATAATGAGTTATTTTTGTTTTCTTGGAGATATCGAGAACTTTAAAAAAATAAAATAAAATTGTGTCAGATTTTGTGCCTTTATTGTCGAGAGAGGACAGTGGATAGAGTTGGAAAGCAGAGAGAGAGAGAGAGAGAGAGAGAGAGAGAGAGACAGGGGAATGACATTCAGGAAAGGAGCCACAGGTCGGATTGGAAGCCGGGCTGCCCGTCTGAAGGACCACAGCCTCTGCACAATGGAATGCTCGCACAAACCTCTATGTCACCAGCGATATTGAAAAATTAAGTCCCCATCACACGAAGAACAACTTTTTCACATCAAGGGAAAAAAAAAATCAAATTTAATGTATTTATTTCAGAGGGATGATGCAATTTACCAAAGTCTCAATACAAAGCATGCAACTGATGTGCTGCACTGACAGTTTATAGTGATTGCTCATTTTCAACCCTTGTCCCTGGTTGGGCCTTTGGGTATCAAAAAATTGCACAAGCTTTCCCAAAACCGAAGCGAACTGATGAGACATTGAAAAGATGAACTCTTTGGCATACCATCAGTGTTGAAAGTAGTACATGTGAATTCCCAGGAATAACATTTTTTTTTTTTTTAAATATGTGTTTTTGTTTCATTTGCATTCCTCACTACTACACTATTGTCTCACTTTCTTCAAGTGTCATTGTGCTTTTTGATTGTACTGTTAATATGTATTAACATCTCTAGGCCTGCAGTTCAATGTCAATAGTACATTTAAATGAATGTTTGTGTTTCCTTTGTCAAGCTTGCTGTGCATGTCCTAAGCATACAGAATATGTATTTCCGTGTTTGTACATGCAGAGCAACTTAAAACTGGAGTGTGATTCCTTATTTACGCATACACACCCAGCCATTAATCATGATAGTGATGCATAACAGCATGACGTTCCTCTTCAGACTGGTATATTGAGTTTGCACAATGGGGTTAAAAAGTTGATGTTTATTACATTAAATATATAATATTAGAAACATTAGTCCTTTGCACCAAAATACATTTGACTTAGGTGACTCATGTGCTCCAGTACTTTCTTTGGATGCTGCCTGAGAGAAGGAGTCAAGAAGTTTGAATTTTTTAGGGTTAATTATCTCCAGATATGGTGTGCTGGTGGAATGCATGCCCCATGTATGGAGGCTGTAGTCCTCCAGACGGGCAGACCGGGCTCAAATCGGACCTGTGGCTCCTTTCCCGCACATGCCATTTTCAACTCTCTCTCTCTCTCCCTGATTTCCAACTCTATCCACTGTCCTCCCTCTCTTATTAAAAGCACACAAAGCCCCAAATTAAAAATCTTTAAATTACCTCCCAAATATAACATACAGGTCACTTAGCTCTGCACAGAAACAGCTGGTAGAAATGTCCTTCAGAGTAACTTTTCACTGTTCTACTGAATACTTTCAGTCTTTACTTTTAAAAATTTTCCTTCAGTTAAGTATTTGAGTAAGTATTACTATTTTTACCAGTCTCCTTTAGAACAACCATGAGTTCTTCTTCTTCCTGAGTAGAGAATCTGTGTATTTTTTTTGCCACCTCTGAAAGAGGAGAGAAATCGTCTCCACCTTTAATAAGCAGCGCCGATGTCTATACCCTGCACAATACACTCTGACGAAGTGTTTTTCAAAGTTCTCAGAGGGATAAAGTAATTGCAAAGGAAGAAGCAGAAGGGCTTGAAAAGTATTAGCAACCGCGCTGAATTCCACTTTGCGAGCTATTTATTGACTTCACATATGAGCAGGTGGAAGCTACATACACGGCTCAGTGTGTCGCCTTTTCTGGTCCCCGTGCAACCACATTAACATAGCAGCTCCTCTGAGAGGCGCGGGGAAATTAGTGTGTGCTCTCTGCACATGCAGGCCTGTGTTTGCCTGCGCCTGCACATTTGCATAAGCACACATATCTGTGTGTTTCTGCATGTGAGTGCAGTTTGGGTGCTTGCCTGTGTGTGTGTGTGTGTGTGTGTGTGTGTGTGTGTGTGTGTGCGTGTGTCATTGCCCGTTTTCTCGGTGCTGACTCACTTCACGGTAATCTCTGAGGGTATTATCGCTGAGGGTGGCTAAAGACGTACATCATCAAGACATGAGCGCTTCTCCTCGTCAGTGGAGAGTCTCTACACCACGCCGTCATTATACTCTATTATTCCTGATGATGTATATTGAACAGGTTGCCAAGCGAGCCGAGCCCCCCCCCAAAATACTCTCTATTTCTCCCTCTCCTCACCCCCCGGGCAGGGAGAGAAGTGTCTCATCTCAAGGCCACGAGGGATTGTAGCCAAGGTCACTTAATCACCATTTACTTCCCCTAAGCGTGGGTGGAAGCAATCTACAAGGAGCAGGCAGACAGATGGGCCGTAGTAGGCACGTAGCCGGTGACACCTGAGGGTGCATCGGGGTGTTAAATAGACATTAGAGCTCTATGTAGCAAAACGCCTCCCAAGGTAACGCCTCCCTAAAGTGCCTGTTTCCCCGTTAAAGAGCGTTCCCTGTTAAAGCCCGCCCAGTCATTTGTACATTTTGTGACAAACTCCAAACCCTTTCCATTGAGTGTGTTAGTTGGGGAATCAGAAATATGATGGATAAGATGTTCCTCGTCTCAGACTCGATGAAGTGGGAACATTGCGTCGAGCTGTTTCACGTTAATGGGGCACTTCAGGGGCAAAGTGCATACATGTGCGAGACACACGATTGTTAAAAATACCTCTCCTGTTTCTTGTTACGCGACTGGACTTCTATATAGGGCCAACATTGTGACACTTGTTTCTTTATCTATATATAGTCATGTCCTCAGGGCTTTAAACACAGGTCTCTGTTATGTAAATGCTTTGTAATGGCTCTCAGACATGACAGAGCCATAATGGAAAGAGCTTGTACAGCTTGCATGATATCTTACATCTGCTATGTTGGACGTTGGTGGAGCAAAGTGTCATCATGTAAGAGATGCTCTAAGCCTTTTGTAAGGTTTGAATCAATATGAGATAAAGACATTTTGGAGTCTGGGCTTTTCAAATGAATGGTCTTTTTGAGGCCTTTTTAAAAGCATCGAAGGCCACCTCGTACTTTTCATTTCATCACTGATTGGATTGAATAAAGAAACCTCTTCTTCTAATTCTAAAGGCAATGATTGAACTTTGAACACAGGTGGTGTTCTGTGGACCCGGGGGTTAATTCAATAAGAGACAAAATAAAAAATTGCCAACACTTAAGAGGTTCACTTTCAAGCCTGTAAAGGTTTAAAGAAGCCAACATTCATTCAGCTATAGAGGCAACATCTAAGGGGAAACAATCCGCTGCTCTCCATTCACTATGCTGGCGGGTGAAAGTAAATAGAAGGCGCCTTCACGCAAAACAAAAGGCATATAAAATGCTTTAAAGCTGCTGAGTGTTTGATCCATAAGCAACACGGTTAACAACAATGTTTTTCTGAAAAGTGCGACTAGTTGATACAAAAACACCCATCAGCTGGATAAATGGGAATCTTGGATCTTGATCTAATAATTGGTCCAGACAGGCCATAGAAGTTCAGGCTGAGCAATGCAAGGCCTTGCTTTGACTTGTATCAAAGACCGCATTTTAAAATCTGGTGCTCACTGACAGAGCTTTACATGACCAGGCTCCAGAGGATTGTGTGGACCTTCTGCAGCCCAACATCATGACGTCATAAACGTTGCAAAAAAAGTAAAGACATTTGTTTTATGTAGATTATTTTATTGTTGTAATAATGCTTCTTGACAATAAATCTTACACTGTCACCTCTGAATTTCCATTTTAAATGGTGCCATGGGGGTTGAACACATGAAAAACTTGTCAAATCTTCTCTGCCAATGTCAAACAGCTTATTCTGCTGTTGACTCTTGTTTGGTGTCATTTTGTGGATTGGATGATTGAAGTCTGAAGAAACAAGACATATTGGCAATTTAGAGAAAATTTGGCAAGTTTTTCATGTGCGCAACCCACGTACTCAGCTCTGCTGCTCATCCCACAAATGTATGTTCCTTACAAATGTGGCACACAGGAAGCATTGTTACAACAAAGAAATAATCTACCAAACAAAATTTCCTAACTTTTTGGGCGATGTTTAGATCATAGGTTCTCAACCCAGTGGTTTGCAAGCAGACATTAAGACGTGTTTCAAACACGGGGAGATTAGGCTGTGGCATAAGAAGCTCCCAAACTTCGAAATAGTCTCTGTATAAGTCCATAGGTCTTCAGATGTAATAGTCTTCAGACTGTGATTGGTTCTTTTTTTAAGCAGCTAAAGCCCTATTGGTGTGAATGAGTGTTTAGATACGTGAAACCTGCTGGGTTTTATTCAGTTTTTAATCTGTTTTTAAAGATGATCTGGTGCTATATTAAAAATGTATGGCTGTTTTATATTTGTCCTTTTTTTGGAGGTTAAAACTTTGAATACTTTTTTATTATTTATTTTTTATTTTTTTGTCTGGCTTTTTTCCCTTTTCAGTTTTTATCTTAGAAATTTGATTCAAAATTTTCTGTTTATAATAAATCTGGTGTTCTTTCATTTTTGGCTTGTGTTTTATTTTTTTGTAATTTTGTGTGTTTATCTTTGAATAATTTATTTGGCGTTTTATTTTGAAGTTATCCATATTTGTGTATATCATGAGGTGTCTTGTGTTCCTTCTTCTGAACATTGTTTCTTACTTATTTGTATTTGACTGTAAAACATTGTGACTAGTGGGGGCGCCGGTCCCATGTATGGAGATTATAGTCCTCCAAGCAGGCAGCCCGGGTTTGAATCCGACCTGTGACTCCTTCCCCGTATGTTATTACCCCCACACTCTCTTGCCCTGATTTCTGACTCTATCCACTGTCCTATCTCCATAATAAAAGCTTACAAATAAATATTTAAAAAACAACAACTTTGCTTTCTTTAAAATCATTTAATATCAAAGTTCTAAAACTTTCATTGTCAATATACGTTTTCCTCCCTTAGACCCAGGGCATTGAACTTTCTCTGACATGCTGATTCCTGTCTTTAGCTTGTTTCAGGCACTTTGAAAGCATTCAACCATCTGGCTCCAATATAAGGATCAGATTTTTCCCCTCCAGTGGGCGGGGCTTGTACAGCAGACGCATTGCGCTTTGTCTCTTAAGCAGAACTTATTTGATTTAACACCTCCCTCATCGATAGAGCTTTAGGAAGATGCTCTTGTTGGCATTTCCCCGTCCCTCCAAGTGTGCCCAGAGTAAACAGATCCAGAGGAGCAACCACACACAGATATAACAGACCCTGTCAGCAGTCCAGCTCCCACAGCAACACCAGTAAATGAAGCACTTCAGATTCTGATGAACATGTTACCTTGGCATTGGACGTTAAACAAAGTGCTTTTTCTAACGCAGTCAACAGCAGAGGTCCTTTGATTTCATCATAACCTTTTTGATGTTGCTGTTTTAACGAGAGCCGAACAAGATGTGCCATTTGATGGAAGTCACTAAATCCCCTGCTGGAGAATAGTTATCCTCACTAAGTGCAGCCTTTGAAAGAATGTGTTGTTGAGCCAATTAGGGATACAATCTCTTATTAATCACACACTTAGCTGCATTAATGATTCACACCTAAACGCGGCCACATGAGTCTCTGAAGTATTTTTCAAAGATACTGTAGATACATGAAATGGATTTTGTTGAGTTATGTAATTTTCTGTGACATTTAATTGTGTAATTGAATAAGTGTTCCAGATAAATCTAGTGGAATTTTTATTTTTTTTTAAAAGGAAGATGTTTCATATTCATCTTGCTTTTAATAATTCATCAAACTTAAATGTGATTTCACTCTTTCTCTTGGTGTAGTAGCCACTCCGCAGCGAGGGTGTGGGCGTGCTACAGAGACGAGAGGAGTACGTACCAAAGACTATGAGGCGAGTGTGTGTATCAGTCGAGCCCAGAGGATTTTGGGCCGTGCAGCGGTACATGGAGCCGTTGAGCTCAGCTGGCACCCGCTCCAGAATCAGCTCCTTCCCCTCTCGCTCGGCGCTGCCGTCCAGAAGGCGGCCCCCTACCCGCGTCCAGGTGAAGAGGGGCTCGGGGAACACCTCATTCTATCAAAACCAAAGAAGAAGGGTGGGGGGGGGGGAACAAAAGGAGGAGAAGGGAGAAATAAAAAAAGAGAGGGAAGAGAGGGTGGTGCAGAGTAAGTCTGCCGGTCTCAGCCAAGAGATTAAAAGCAAAGGATACATGAATAATACAAGCTCCAATTTTATCCCGTAATGCAAAGGCGAGTTAACAACATGCATTAATAATCAACACTTCACTTTACAACTGCTTTTCCCCCCCCTTCACATTTTTGAGCCCTCCAGAGATCAGTCCCCCCCATTTTTAATTTAAAAATATCATCCTCCATGAAGCGGAATTTCATTCATGTCAGTGGGTTGACATCTTCACAGATAATGAGAGGACACACGTAAAGGGGGGGGTCTCATATTAGATCCCAACCTCTGCTTCTGCTTCTCTGCGTCCTTTTTTCACATCATAATCCCTCGATGACACATTCACTGCACCACACGGACACACTCACACAGAGACGATCCTAAACTACTAACACAAAATGTAATGTTTGTTCTAAAATGTAATACAATATATAAAGTATCTTTTTGGTTATTTCAGAGCAAAACCACTTCATACATTGCTTCTTTCAAAGGTACAATATGTGGAATATTATGAGAATTTTACACTAAAACGTCTAAATTCATTAAATTTACGTCTAAATTTACTAAAAACTTATTTTGTATATTTTTTTATTTGATGACTACTTACATTACCTCAAATATTTCCAACAATAATATAATATTTCAATATTTCCATTGACTCTAAAGTTGCATATTACACCTTATATTAATTTAACTATGTAACCAGGTGATTTTGATGCTATGTAAGTACTTACATGATTTAATGGGACTATTTTGTAGTGTGTATCAAAATTCAAATATTTATTTATGCTCACCACACTGTGACAGCCTGTGTGTATGACTGATGCCATGGGTACCTAGATTTAGTGGCGATTCTAGAGCCCGTTGGGGCCCTAGGCAAAAATCAATTGGGGGGCCTTTCAACCCACGTTCAGCAGGGAAACGAGAATGAGTGTCGTCAGATGGGCCCCCCTTAGGGAGGTTTCCTACCGTCATTGCAAAATTTCCACGTTTGAGGCTGCCCAAGCAGTTGCCTGCTTTGCCTGTTGACAAACATTGCCTCTGCCTAGATGGCCATATTTAGATTTGTCTGGCTACTCTAAGCTGTCGTATTTGACAAAATAGAAGCGCAAATGTTTTGTCAGTGGACACACACACAGACACCCAGAACACCCACATACACACAACACAAAAGAGTTTCCAACATTCACAGCCTACTGTTGAAGGAAGGAGCAATTCATTGGGACATGCTCGACATATGTGAGTACATCGAGTCCTAAAGACATAGATGTTTCTAAAGATGGGAGGTTTCTAAAGATGGGAGGTCTGACCTTAGTGATGTTTTAAGTGTTTGAGGTGGTGTAAAATTGGATAATAAAGACAATTGAAGACTTGTCAGTTCGGTTTCATTTTGGTTTTCACTGCTCCATTAGCTTACAGCGATACAATTTAATAAATTCATAATAAGTTAGCCGAAGCGCAGAGCCAATGAATCCATCTTGTGTGACCTCGTGTAGACCCTGCTCTTATTAAAGGTTCAAGAAGAAACAGCAGAATATGAACCGCAGTCCAGACTGTCCTTCCTTCATGGCTTTTCAAGCATGACTTACTTCTCACTATCAACATCCCTCTCCATTGACATTGACATTGAAAAGTGCACATTTTGAATCCTTCCCTGCAGCAGACAATGATGATGCATTCCCTTGGCATGTGCCCAAGTCTGAATATCATGCTCACATGCCCAAAACAAACCAAACACTTCAGAGTTCAGACAAACATGCTTTGCACAAAAAGCTCCAAATAACAGCTTGAAGTCACCTCCTGCACTTATGTGAGAGTATGCAACAATCTTAATTTTGCTGTTTGCAATTGTTTTGACAGAGCTGTTGTGAATTGATTAACCTTTCAAAATAAATGCTAACAAAAGAGTTCTCCAAGGTCTGTGTTTAAATCATGACAGAGTTTAATGACTTAGCAGATGGGGACAGGCTGTTGGGAAAAGGTCACATTAAGAAAGAAAAAAAAACACTAAAAGGGTTTAAGTGAGACCTTCCTGTCACCTAACCCCAAGAGTCCAAATAAAAAAAGGTCTTTGTTGCTTAAACCATCAATTTCCTATCTAATCTCGTACAAAAAGCCACATGAAAAATGGATGCAAAGTAAAAACCTTGCTGCAGGATAATCATCCATAATACATTCCTAAAACAATAAACCTGAGGGGGAAACTGGCATCTTATTTGATCCAGAAGGCGGGAGGTAAAATTATCAGTCTTGAAACACAATCTTATCTACTTGTGAAACCCTGAAGCTCACGTCCAGTGGAGGAAAAAAAAGCCCTGAAAGTACGCTTTCTGATTATTCTGCATGCTGCCGAAGGGCCTGACTGGCTTTACGCCACAGTCAAGCTTGTTTTTTAAAATAACCAATCTGAGCGCTGTTCATAGAAAAAAGTTCAAATGATTCTCGCGGTCACTGAGCAGACATAAACACATCTAACAAACTGCGCGGTCAATACTTTGGTGCACTAACCCAAAAAACAATGCAGAAGTTGAATTTCAGGTTTAACAAAAAAAAAATGCCTCGGAAGAGTGAAATACGATCAAAAAAAGATCTGCCTTCTGATTCCGAGAGGTTCCTAAGGCAGAAACAGAGCAGTAACAAAGGCGATGTGTGCGGTGGGCTGTTAATAGGTCCTGTATCAGGATTTGCCCTCTCCTTTTCACCTGACTGGCTCCAGCTGCCGGGTTTCAAAGTGTCAACCCTGTCAGGGAGATCAGGACCATCCACAGGCCCCTTCACATCAGGAGAAACAGTATTTTCTGGCAGGGGATGAAAGTGACAAAAAGACAATCTCTTTGCTGCTATACCTTTAGTCCCCCCTCCTTCTTCTTCCTTTTTGGGATTATAGAGCAGGGAATCTTAAAACAACAGAGACTCTACTTGGAAGCATTTCATGGCTGCCATTCAACACGTTCTCATCCCAGGTCGTCAAATACAAATTCTTTGTCACAGCCTTCAGTCTCATTCTGATGCAAAAAGGGAGTGTTTGTTGTCTTTTTCTCAACCCTTTGTTAAAGTGATGTGGTCTGCTAAAAACTAAAACTAAATGGTAAAGATCAACTGCATATGTTGACCAATTCCCAGAACTAGATTTCAATCCCAATAAGCAGTTCATCTATCATGTTACTAAGAGCATTTGCTGATTTATGGAGCGACTGTGCGGATCATGCATGCTTCTGCAAAACCTGCACAAAACAACATATACTGTACTCAAAGCTCTGTGCTGTTAAAACATGGTTAAAATGGCCATTATTCATACATGTGTAAAGCAAATGGGCCTTGTTGAAGAGATATATCCAATTCACAAAGATTCAGTATTTGACAGCTTTGGAATGAGAACAGGCTGGGCTAATAAAAACAAAAAAGACACCAGACATCGGACATCATATAGACAGTCATGATATAAGCAAAATAGATTTCTTGTGCTTGATTCATTTTAGTTATATATTTCATGTCTCAAGTTGAAATATAAACCAGTCTGAAACACTGCGTTGTGTTTTTGAGTCTTTTAAATTAAATGAACAATTTGAAATGTGACTCACAGTTCCACAAATTAGTATTTGGCATTCATACTTGAACAGACTGAGTAAAAGATGTCTCTGCCCATCAGAGTGGTCGCTCTGATGGCTAAAAAAAAGAAAGAAGAAAACTTAACAAGCTTATTGAAACAAATGCACCATTCTACTTTAATAGATGGTCATTCATTTTGTTAGCACCCCATGCACTTACCCCAGACGATCCTACCTGGAATCCTTGCACAGTGATGCGCACTGTGTCCCCCACCTTCGCCCTTGTGGGGGTCATTAAGAGTTTAGGACCCTTTGGAGCAGCTGTAAGGAGAATAAAAAAAGAAGGACAAGGAGACAAAGGTCATCGCACTGAGCATGAAGACAAATCCTGTTGGAAACCTGTTTTGTCACTGAGGGAGAGAGACAAACACAATTTCCTGTCAATTAAGGTCATGGGGCGAGAGGCGAGGGACCTGCGGGCTCTTTCATCTAAAGGACTATGCCGGATTTATTCCCCCTCGGAGAGAAAAGCAACTAAATTGGGTAGATACTCATTACTAGAGGAGAATGGGAGTGCACAGGGTGGAGTGTGGAGGCAGTGAGATAAGGGACACTCAGAAAGCTAATTCCCTTGTCTTGGTGCGGACGGCAGCACCCGGATGGCTTTCATATGGACCCTCTAAAACAATGGGGTGCAGGCAGGAGACAGTGGGGGGGGCGGGTTCTAATATTCTTTGAAAATGACGGGCCGCTGAGTGTCCCGTGTATGTAGCATGGAGATAAAACGACTGATTTGCATAATGTTATAAAAAGGTAAGTCATTTCATTACGGCTAAACTGCACAGCGTACCACATTAGGCCTTTATAAGCAGGTTCTGCACGATTTGAGATGATTAACAATTCCCTTAAAGATAACAGCTTCACACGCTGTGCACTTCCATATGTTAGACAAATGGACTGAGCAGAACATGCAACGGGATTCAGGCTATGAGGGCGTCCTATCAATAACGTCTCTACAAGTCCACCCCAGGAGTTCTTCGATTAATTTGCTTTGAACTCTCGGTATAAATCACGCTGGGTGCCCGTGTTCATTGATGAGTTAAACTAAAGGATAAATAAATAAACAGACAAATGACCTCGGTATTCAGCTATTAATCTGGCAGCAAACTGTCCACTGTGGCTAATGAAGCACGGCCTCTTCTAAGGCTTCCATTGACTCCAAGCCTGCGTCAGACTAATGAATTAGGAGTTACACTGTCATGTATGGAAATAGGACGGAGCATGTGGGATTGCCTTTGTGTTGTTTTATTATATCTAGGGATGAATTTATGAAGCAGAAGCTAAAAGCATTTGATTTAGCATGAAATGGTTAAAGAGAGTACAAACAGGCTGGAGGACGTGAGAGAGCAAACAAAATCTTGCAAAGGCTGGAAAGAACTGGTGAAGATTTCAGCACCATTAAACTGCTTTTAAATGCATACACTGATATATTTATTCTAGATTTTTCTCTAGAATATTTCTAAGAAGACTCTCCGTCAGATTGACCAACAATGTTCATAAATGACTGATGTGTTGGCAGCTGTGTTCTTATCTCCTTGTGTTCGTATGTTGACAGTGTGTGCCTGTTTGCAACTAAACTAGCATAGGTAACCGCCCACTTATGCCCATAAAAGGGCATGACTGAAGGGCCCTGTAGACTCACAGAAACGCATGCTGGTTGCAAAGAATAAGTTTGCAAAGAATATGCCTAACTGAGCGGGCGAAGATGGCAAGACCTTCAAAAAGTGGTCGAGCCTTCAGAACCAGGCTGATCTAAAGTACGACAACACTATTCCATTGTATACATGACATCATATTCAAAGATGTCATTTCAAAAAGCTTTTGGTGGATCTCTGTAAACCTTATGGATCGCATATACCATTTGTATTATTCTGGATAATTATTCTGTCCCTTTGTACCAATGGCTGTCCTCTAGTGTGCCTCCCACTCCATCCCAGACACACCTGGACACACACAAACACCCTTTCTTCTTCCTTTTTAATCTGCCACACTCTCCTTGTATCCCCTTGAAACCGACTGGGCCCCCTCGTGTCTCCTTTTGCAAATGTACTCAGAACAACACTGATTTTCATTTGATGCCACTTAATTGTGTTACGGCCGAGCGGATTGGGAGTTTAGCGGCGAATGCAAAAACTCCAAGTGAGTGACAGGGTAATTCATCGAGCTGTCTGTCGGCTAGATTGAGTTAACTCAGTAGCGTTATTGAAAAAGTCAACCTGAATTAGAGAAGTCAATTTAGTATTCAGACACACTGACCGATGTTATACCGAATGGAAAGACAATCTTGGAGATGTTGCTCTTCTTCCAACTTCAATGAGCTCCTCCTTTACGCTCTTCAGCCTTAAACTTTGTTCTTTTTTTAAAAGCCTTTAAATTTCATCAGCATATATCAAGGAGAAGAACTCTGTGGCAGTGGGATTATAAATTCATGTTCAAACTATCAAAGCAGAACATTCAGTGACTCTGAGACTTGAGTACGATGTTTGCTTTAAGTTTAGATGTGTGTGAGTTAAGAGAGACACACACTTTTTCATATATTTCTTTTTAAATCTAAATACAAAGATGGCTTCCAGCACATCCAATTAACACTTCAAAGGCAATATGTTGGCATGGTCCTCCTGGAGGCGAGCCACACAAGCCTGACATGATAAACAGAGACATTATCTTCCGCGAGATGCTAGCAACGGCGGGAAGGCAGACGGAGACGCTGAATGAGGAGACTGAAGCTGGTACATATTTGCTTTCTGCATTGTGTGACGCTGACAGTGTTTTATCTCACATCACCACCTTCCATCTAATTAAAAGTGTCCTCCTTATAATTCTGCTGAGCAGCTGTGGTGGTCACTCTGACTCCATGTACAGAGAACTTGTCATCATTATCTAGAAGGGGAAAGTCTTTAATGGGTGTAAAAAAACGATAAGTTTGTATTCACTTCAAATGTCCGATGCAACTCAAAGGGAATTCTGGTATTTTTTTTTAACTTGGGCTCTTTTTGACATGATTTCTAGAGTAAAAGAGTAAAGCCGGGGTGTAAAATCTAAGATTTTATAGTACCATTTTGTGAAAAACAATCAAAAACAACTAAAAAAATACAACCCCTCCAACTACAATCATCACCGTTATGTCATCTGCGGAAGTCAGCAGAAGTTAACATGTCATTGAAAGTTTGTCAGCCCTTGGGGTGCCCCCTACTGGTGAGGGGCCCCAAGCAGATGGCTGTCTTGCTTGTCGACAAGCAGCGCCTCTGCCTGAACTGGAAAGTAACTGCACTTGACACACCGTTGACATCCATAAAGCACACTCTGAACCCTCTTTTAGCGGACGTACTCTGACCTTATTGCCCCAAAGGATTAAGTTGCAGCTACTACAACGTGTTTGGTAAGAGCTCCTCAGTTATAAATGGGTCGCAGCAGGTCGAACTATCCACTTGTCTAATTCTTGTTTGATAGTAACCACTCAGATTCATGTCTTGTAAACAGCAGCCTTAGATTTTGAGTTAACTTTTCTTTTTCACTTTTTGCGCATAAAGATTTCCTGCCAGAATCTTTATGCATATCTGGGTAAATAGGGTGAATCTACAGGGTCTCAATTAGTGTGGAAGGGACACTCTTTCCTGATGTACCTGATCAATCAGTTTTCAGGGGAGACAGACAAAAGGAGGGGAAGAAAACTGTGTAAAACAGCACACGCTGGCATTGTTCTTTAGGCATCTAAAGAAAACCCAAGACAGTGAAACTTGAATGGAAGAGAAGTGATACGTTTGAAGTGAGTTTAATATTTATTCTGAGTCTGACTTCCTTTTTATATTTCATTCATCGACGTGTTTGTTTTGTTTTAGACTAGATTAAGTTGTTTGGGCTCAGTTTCATATTCAGTTTAAGGGCATTTTCTTCACCTTTAGTTCATTTGCTTTGGTCCAAATCATGGACCAATGACCTCAAGCTTGGTCTGTGTTCAAACGGAGACATTTACAAGCAGAACCAAGCTGAGAATATTCTCCCCATTTGGTGGGAAATTCTTGCAGGAAAAAATCCTGGAAGTAAACAAAGACTTTGACTCTGGCCTGCAGCTCCAAAAACATTCTAATTTCAAAATGGACAGAAAACTTCACGGATTGATGTCGGTTCTGGTCTTTGTTTTTTATATTGTTTGCATTCATCACTTCATGCGAACGATACAGTTTGAAAATGAGTTGCACTGCATCATGTTGATATACTGGAGTCACTGAAGGACTGAAGGGGCTTATCAAGACCGTTCAGGAGAAGGCGCACATAAATCCTCCTGAACCATGACCTGCTTATCCACCGAAAGTGTGGAAACACAATGATTGACTAGAGTGACAGTGAACTACGGCCTGGTGCGTGGCGCTGACGGACTGCGGCGCACACAGAGTATGTGGAAATTGGGGGTAAAGCTTCAGTGTTTAGCCAGCTCTGCATCGGTCTGTAAACCTTTCTGCGTTCTAACCTCTCCATTTTCCGAAAGCATCTCCAATATTGATCCTAGTTTGAGCACGTTTCTGCTCGTGGAGCTTGTTAGAAACATGCAGAGGCTTTTTAAGGTCAGGTACAATCACTTCTATCTGAACCAGTCTGTTTGCCCGCTTCCGTCGCTGCAACACCTGTTGGTTTGCCGTTTGCCTGCATGGCTAACCTAGGGGCACCCAAAAAGGCCTTCTCTGGTCCAAACAAATCCAGAGCATTCAGGACCAGAATCTAAAGTTAGAAGGAGGACATACTGGCTGCTGCTTTGTTATCAGAGAAGCTAGAATGTTTCCTTAATGTCTGAAGATATAGTAAGGTCATTTATCATTTAATTCAGTCAATTTCTTACAGATTGATCATTTAAAATATTCATGGCCTTTTGTTTTAAACCATTACATGAAACTGCAGCAGAATGAAAAGAATCCAGACTCTCAAAAATCTCTTCAGACTTTTCTTTAAAAAAAAAAACAATCACCACCGTTGGTATTGTCACCATTTAAAATGGTAATATCTCATAAGAGACAGTTTAAAGTAATAACTGTCATCATTATATCTCAGGGGCATAGAAGCTCAACACATCACCTGCAGGACAGAGACCGCAGCGTCATTTAGAGCTGCAGTGACACGAGCTGTCTGAAACAAAGCGAAGCGATCGTGCAGCTCGTCGCCTCTTTCACATGTTGATGATTAAACAGATGACACACCCGGAGGGGAGCAGGCCCTGTGAAGCTCCTGCTAAATGTCAGAGGCGCTAATGTTTTGACAAGCCTTTCCCCTCTCTGCTGTGTTTGAAGTCATTAATTCATCTTTGTTCTTTTAAAGATATGGAAGGTGCATCACCAGACGCTGTGTTTCTTCTTTTTTTTTTTTTTCCCAGCACCTGAAGGAAAAAACAGAAAATGTGCGTTTGTTGATTCTAATTAGAGCCCACTTAAAATTCAAGACATTCGCTGACCTGCTCCGGGCTTGATCCTTTTTTGGAATGAAATAGTATATAAAAGTGAAAGGGCTGTCATTCAGGGCAGGAGTTAATGCAGGAGGAATTTTATTTGGCTCGTAATATAGATTAAACGGCACATAGATTTCTTAGAGCGGTTCAGCTTATTTGATACGTCTAATTGAATGTGACTGTGTCAAAACAGCTCACATAATGATATCCATCCCCTTCATTCCCCTGTTCATTTATATAACACAGCTCTAACTGGATAATTGCACTCAGGATCTGTTTTACTGTGTACACACACACACACACACACACACACACTCTCTTTTTTTTTCTCAGGTGTGTTTGGTCAGGAAATGAAAAGGAGGGCTTTCCAGTGCCCATAAGTAATAAATCTTTCAGAGATTTAATATTGCCACATGAGACGGAGCGACAGTCTGACAATCGACCAATGTTACATTACACTTAATGAATATTCATGAATGGCTCCGTGCTCGCCATACAAATGCACCTTGAAGCTGGCGCCGTGCCTCCGCCGTGAGTCTAAAAAAGCACCTGGTCTATTTTTTTCCTAGGCCGTATTCATGAACATAGTAGGGCTTAATAATTTAAAAAAGTGTGTTGCTTTGCATTCAGATGAGCTCATTATGAGTTTATTATTTAACACTCTGCGGCGAGTGGTGAAATTATTTTATTTTACACAGTGTAGTGTACGTCTGTGAGAAGAGAGCCAGGTTGCCTCACTCCTCATTCATTTTGCCAGATCGTGATTATCAAAGAGCAGCTGCTCAGTTTCAGGAAGCTGTCTGTGATCTGCGAGTGCGTGTGTCTGTGTCACCGTGTGTCTACTTGAAGGATTGTTTGTGGATGGATTCACATGTCTATGTAAATGTCTGTGTGTGTTTTTGTCGCTATTCCTGGGCATGCAAATACAAAAAATGTGGACCTAGTATGTTGTTTGTATCTGTGTTTACCGCCAGCTCAGTTCCACATTTATTAATCAATCTTATCTGCCTGCTTCGGTCGAGCCGTCTGTCTCTGAATATTGAATAACCCCTTTTCATACATGAGCTGCACTCAATTCATGACACTGTCAGTGGGCTGCATGTGTGAACAACACTGATATTATCTGTTTAGCCCAACATTATTCTGACTTTTTCCTTCCAAACCTCGAGTAATATGAAGCCTGAATGAAAGTATGTCCCGGCAGGATTGAGGTAAAGGTGCAATGGAACATTGGAATGAGCCGACCACTGTTTCGCTAAATCAACCGCATTACAAGCGGCCATCTTTACGGGTGGATGTGCAGCCAGGAACAGCAACCACGAGCATGACGGAGTAAAGTTATACATTAGATCATAAAGAACGTTGTTAGAGGCTTTGGGCACTGGCCTGAAATACAAATTTAGTTAATATATCTAATTTCAAGACACTCAGAAAAGCACATTTTGCTTGCCCCATTGGCCTTTTTAAAACATATTATTAGAAATCAAGGCCTTATTATTTACTTTTTATATTTTGAAACAAGATGTGCATCTGGATTTGTCAGGCCAATGAGGCTTGAAATATGTGTATTGATAGTGATAGTAGTAAAGTGATATCTGTGTCATGGGAGTTAGATAAATACATGAACTTAGGGTTGAGTATTTGCTGTGTAGTTGAATCATCCTAAAGAAACCAGCAGTATTCCAATCACAGTTCAAAGGACCAAAGCTTTGGAGGGATGGCACTGTGTTTAAATAATGTTTAGTCTCTTTGCTGTTTTGTCAACACACACATTTAAAAAAAAAAAAAAAAGTAAGTTACCGTAAGCATCTCTTTTGGCAGCTTGCTTCATGCACATGTTGTTAAACTTACATTGTGGGGGATCTTTACAGCTTTTTAATTGTAGCATGGTGTCAATACGATAACTAATAACTTCCCTTTTTTGCCCTGGAAGAAATATATCTCTGGATAATGAAATTAAAATGATAAATTTGTAACGACTCACCATCTATTGGCTTGAAATAATAACTGCTAAACAAGGAACATCTTTAGTCCGGGGCAGCTTTATGACACAGCACTGGATTCACCCCAACAGAGCGATCCAGCAGTCAGTCAGGCTTTTCAAATGCGGTTGCATGCCTCCCCCAGCTTCATGTTTTCAATGAAACCAGTCACCCTGAAAATATGACAGTTTCCCTTCAACTGCTTGAGTCTGTCGTGCAGCTGGGCAGACCTGTTGATGTCTTGGCTTTGAATCAAAGCACACCTGATGCACGCTGTATTTCTGCAGACCGTGTTTATTCCACGACCCTCTCTAGAGTCACAACACTTCCTTTCTTGCAAGGTAACAGAAGTCAAGTCTGATGTGAGGGTCTCATGGGACTGTGGCTGATTTCAAATGTGTGGCCCCTCACCCTCACATCAGAGAGAGAGAGAGAGAGAGAGAGAGAGAGAGACAGAGAGAGAGAGAGTCTGTGTTATGTCCATCACGCTGCATGCTGCCCTAATCAAAAGGTGGTGACGTAGGACGCCAACTGTCACTGCTGGAGCAAATCCCAGAAATCAGCCATCATCCAGCCCGGCCATATGCCCTGCAAGCTCTATGTGACGCCACGGCACCAGTATTTAAAAATACTCTTCCGTTAGTGTGTAGGTGGTGGGAAATGGTGCTTCACACTTCTATGCCAAAACTAGCCTGTGTAATGGAACCCGTCTTCGTCATAGGACGGATCACTCGGTCGAGCGCTCACATATTGTCTTTGCTTGGGTAGCCAGTTCACATGCATCCCGTAGATGTTCTATTTGTAATCCTAAAAAAACACTGCACAGCAGGGGGCCAGCATCTCGAATGATTCAATGATGTCTCTGCATACGTTTAGGATCTGTAAGGTATCCATGATGTTTTTGTGATGGAATTTTGTATCTCTCTAGCTGTACAGACATGATTTAGCTTATTCCCTTTTTCCGACAACAGTCATAGCTGATAGGGTTAGCTGTGACCGTGCCAACCAAGGTCACTTTGTGTATCCACTCATATCTGGATCGTTTGGTAGACGTAGTGTCTGCTCCCAATTGTCTTAGACATCACATTCAAGTTTACATAGAATAGGTATAAGTAATATGGCCCTGACTTTAGTATTATCTTTAGGACATATTTACAAAGCCAATGGGACAGTCTGGGAGAGCTGGCTTGGCAAGACACTGTATCACACGTGTGCTGTAAATTCATTTCTCCTCACAAGTATTATATAAACTTCTTCAACTTCTTCCATCTGAGTCTCCTGTTCTTACAAATTTCCTCAACAGTTTACAGAGAGGATTCAGGGAGATCTGCTTCGTCACAGACGATAATATTGTCCACTAATGATATCTGTGATGTATTCTTTTGAAAACCTCATCTATTAATCGCAAAGATCACAGATCTTGAAATAATGCATGAGCTGAATTCACAGAAACTGCTTATATTTGAATAAATATTATTAATTTTTGGAACATTCATATCTGCGATTCTCATTTGGCAGCCTCTAATGTGAAAAGATCTAGGTTATGACATATTACACAAGGGAAAATCAGGGTTACCTATTTGTCAGAGATACTAACATGACCATAGCTGCACAGTACAGGTATAAAATGTACAATATTAGAAGTATATTCATGGTTTTTAGTTTTTATCCATTATGGGGTTGTGTCACAAAATAGAAGCCATCACACATCTAGTGTGTATGTGGATATCTATATCATTAGCTTGCAAAGGAATGTAATTTAGTGCAGTTATTCAAGTGTGATTCCAAGTTTAACACATATAATTTCTTGTAAACAATTGTCGCCTGGTATACATTTATTTTCTGTAGAATTAATTTAAGCTGTCTAATGATCCTGAGATCTTTCTTTTCTTTCACTTCTTTCATTTTCATCTCTGTCACCATTCAATGCAAATGTATTGCTTTTGCATTCTGCCTTATAAAATGCATCCCCAGAAGTTGTTGAACAGCACATGGACAATTTTACACGCTCCGTACCATTTACATATATGACAGTGTAACTCCTAATCCATTACTCTGATGCATTTCAAAATAGAATCCCTCAAAGATCCAGTGTGTAATCCTGCAGATATTTTCTCTCCCTGATGAATACAAATGTATCAGCACCTTGAATAACACCGTTTTTTATGTTTATTCCAGTGAGATGAACAGAAAAAGATGGGTAGGAGAATGAGGAGAGCATGCAAAAACAATGATTCAGTCTGCATCCTACTTACACAGGGTGACCTCTGTCTGCATGGGCATGGACAGTGCTGGGTGCTTGACTTCACAGCTGAACAGGGCGTCATTATCCAGCTGAGGGTTGAGGGTCCAAGTGAGTCGGGCCTGCACCACCACAGAGCCGTCGCTCTGAGGGATGTTAGTGTGGCTAAAGTAGTAGAGTGGGTCCGTGTTGCGCACCCAGCGGGGGAACTCTCGGCTCACCACAGTCTCTGGGATGACCTCCGTTGCCGGACTGGGTTCGTGGGCCTGCTGGCCCTGAGTGTGGATGCGCTGTGGGCTCTCTCGCTTTGGGCTCTCTGTGTTCAGACGAGCCGACCGCCCCTCAGGGTCCAGGAGGGAGAGGGAGCGCTGCAGTTTAGTGTCGTCCAGGTCCCTGCTGATGAGCGGCCTGGCTCCTCTCACCCCGGCTGAACCCCCTCCCTGCTCAGGGGTAGAGGTCTGAGTGTAGGAGATGACCTCGATCAGCTCACCATCACGCTTAAAGTACACCTGAGAGCATGGAAATAGAGGGGAAAGTAGACAGAGAGGACAAAAAAAGAGTGAAACTAAATCAATATATTACTGCTCTTACATTTTTTAGGAACTCTAAAACAAAACAAACGGCAAAGTAACAACTTGGCTTTCTTTACACACAGTCACAGCACAACCCCCGTTCAATCAAGCAGAAATCTCAGCATCACCTTTGCACATCAAGTCTGTAAAACTGTATCTCACTCTACTCATGCTAAAAATCAGGACACCACAAAACCCACGACACCCCAAAGGAGACATACGTTTTCACTTTTCAAAGCTCAGATTGGACAGCCCTGTGCGTGCATCAATAATTGTTTAATCCATATGAAGCCTAGTGTAACCTGAGATCCTCTGGTGGGTCCCTCTTAAAGGCAAAGATCTAGATTAAAACCAAGGGGTGACCAGATCTTCTGGGTCTTTGCTAGCATGTTCTTAATACCCTAGAAAACCCTGCAGCAAGATTATTCTTTGACCTCTTTTTGATCCCCTAAATAGTACACTTTTTTAAGTGTATTCTTTTAGTATACTATTTTTATTGTCCTATTTATTGTCATCTATCTAACACATGTAACATTATTTTCATTATTAATATATAGAGCTCAACCGCTACCGCCCAGTTGAGAAAATAAATCTTAATTCCCAGCACATAAAATCTAAAATCAATTTGCGTCGAGATCAGAGAGTCATTTTATTAAACATTGTATTTCAGTGTATTTTATGGGGCTTTAACATAAACAAGGTTAAAGTGCACTTTGATTTGGTGCCCCATCTAAGGCTGAGATTTGAAGTGGGTAAACAGCATTAATGGGGGTAAACAAGAAAGGAAAAGGCAGAGCTCCTGAGGAATAAAAGCAAATAACCAAAGCGATTAAACCTTTAATCCCTGGACCACAATACAGCTTCACACTCTCGAGCCCTCTCTATGAAACTTGATTCTTTCAACACTTCAACAGCATTGAAGAAGTCCTCGGAAGTTTAAACAATGTGCTGGGAAGGAGCTCATTGTTGGAAGGAACAAGACGAGAAACAAAACCAAGGTGATGCTGGAAAAATAAGTTTATTAAACGCTTGGTTTGAAAGATATTTCATGATTATTATATTTATGATCATGTTTTCTAAATTCTGTAGCACTTTGAAATTTGTTTTAAATGAAAATAATATATATTATTTTTACAATAACATGACTTTTAATTCCCCTCTGCGTTCCATTCACTTAAACTTTATAAACTTTCTTTTGAACCCTGATGAATGGGAGCTGTCTGTTGATGAGGTTATGTTTGCAAAGACAGATGTAACATCATTAGATAACAAGCTGTGTTGTGCCGCCGGGTTGTATCATGTATAAGTATTTATAGCCAATGTTAAAAACGAACTAATGCCTGCCAATGGAGCAGGCTGCTACACATCATCACACACACAAAGGTGACCTCGTCCAAAGGCTTTCAGCAGGGCTGGTTGTTGGACACAACAGTAAATATTCAACTACCTGTCCACATGTCTAACCTGCGGCTCCTCCTGTTAACCCTAAACTGCCTTATGGCCCCATCTACCTGTGCAACCCTTATAGTACACAGGTCGGTTTTCTTTTAGACTATTTCTTGGTTGATTGATTTTATTTTTGTTAGGTGACAACAGTGGTTGATGCACAGCTGTCCTTGTTTTTAATTGGACTTTCATTACATTCAATAAGACCTTTCATTGGAGAAAAACAACCTCAAATGCTGGAAATGGAAGTGACATCTGATAACAAATTGTCCTTGTGTATAAAGAAGTTTTAAAACCTCACATCAGTGCAACTGGTTCTTAGAAAAAAAATACTATTCCAGCAATTACAACCACAGCGTAATTAGGACCAAGGCAAATATGAGAAATTGTCAACAAATTAATAATCCCCCAAAGGGTGAGTGAGTTTGACATAAGCACGTGGTAGAAAAGTGAAGTCAGTACACTCCATTATCATCATTTTTATGCATTTGGAGTTAGATAGGTCCACCTCAGTTGCACATCTTTGCCTCATAATGGGTTAACCAAAGGTTTGGTTGTGAAAGCTGTTTAAATATGGTGACCACCATTGTTGGGCTTCAAAAGTGCATCTAAACCACTGAGTTGTTGTAAAACCATGTTTTATACAGTCTATGGATGGGATATACGATCCGGAATTTGCACATTTGTGTTTTATTTTGAAATTGACTTGATGCTCACTGCGTTCCTGTGTCTGACTTTCTGACCAGGTTGAATTGTTGCTGGTGTTGAATGTTAATGGAGAAAGTTCAATAACTAACGCTACACAGCCATTGATCAGCATTTCATTCAGGGCTTTGAGAACATTGGCTCATCTATAGGCTAATGTTGTGTGAGTATGCTAACTGCTTACTGTGAAATGGTGCTGGGCTTCTGCCTACTCCTCAGATGGTGTTTCTCTTCAGATCAGCCATCAATGAGATTGGCCACGCCCACAAAGCCTTAAGAAATGCTTCTTAAGCCAAGTCAACCTCGATGTAATTTATGCATTTTTACCAAGGCGCATCTCACAGGCTGCAAATGCTTTCACCCAAACAAGTGCATTGATTTTATCCCAGCAGCCAATTTTACAAATGTGGCGCCAGAAATTAACACATTTTCCTCTTTTGATTTTTGCCATGTGGGAGCCTTCAATACCCATCACCCCTTTTCCCAGTTCACCTAATGTGCCCTGTTGAGCCAGAGTTTCAAATCCAATAGCACAATGGGACACATTAACCTTACATCCAGAAAATACTGCTACACCCCACTGCTGCTGCTGCTGCTGCTAACACCTACAGCTACTCAACCACTCTCCACGAGAAGAAGCTTTTTCACCGTGCATTAAAACACCTCATTAATTATCTCAGCAGGTGGAGGGAGAGCAGTGTGGATTAGAGCGATCCATGCACCTGTTCTGTTGCTTTTGTTGGACAAAATGGTGTGGGTACACAATAACACCTGTGTTGGCAATTAATCTGTTATAATAGGGAAGGAATTCTGTAAGCCCGGATAACTGATTTGTTTGTATAAACATTAACAGATGAGGTAATTTATGGGCATTGAAGAAATATTGATTAAACAGCTACATGACTTAACATAAGCCTGTGCTGCATACACTCCAAACGAGTCAGAATTAAAACCTTTATTTGAACTGTTACCTCCAGCACATTACAGGTTAGCTATTTAAAGTGATACTAGCAGGATTAAATAAGTCTCTTTGCCACCTGTCCGATTGAAGTACAAGAAAATAAATCAATTAATGTTTCATCCAAGACACATGGGACAACAGGTAGCTGCAGAGGACAGTGAAGTGTTTATGTCGTTATCCTGCAGTTCTGCTACTCTTTGCATGAAAGGAGTAAATTAAAATACTGTTGGCAAAGAAATAAATTATACTTTCAGACGATTTGTCTGAACTCTTTAATTTTAATTTGTAATTTTGTGTGGTGCACTAATGCCCAGGTAGGGGTACTTGTTAGCCAGAGGGTGTTTTTGAAATTACCAAATTGTGGAGTCATTGTGGAGTCTGTTTTTTTTTTTTTTTGTGTGTGTGTGTGTCTGTTTACTACAGGAGTCTGACACTAGTTTATAATACTTCCTGCAGAGTGATACACCTCACAGCAGGTCAGAGCTTTGCAGTGTTACCCACACATAGAGGTGTTTCTGAGGTTTACACAGAAATCAAAGTAAGCAAAGATGTCTGACTATCCTGTCAGAGCAGCGTAACAGGATGTATGTCTGGAAGTTGGAGTTTCAGTTGATTTTTTTTGGGGGGGCTTTTGTCTTTCTGTAGGTAAGATGATATAGGGCCTGAGCATGGTTACCTCTTGTACATGACGTCGTTATACAACACATGTATGGCTTTACGTGATTGTGAAGCAGGCTTAGTTTACAAGACAGGCTGACTCCAAAAAATAAATAAGTAAAAAGGATGCTCGGTCACACCGGAGAACAACACAGAGAACATAACAGTTATACTTTACAGACTATGTGGCTTATTTTGAGTCATTTTAGTCAGAAACAGACAGAACAATCTGGGACTTTCTTTATAAAGGAGGCTGTCTACAGTGTGTACCCATGCTTGTGCTCTTGCATGAACTGTACCATGCCAAAGCACACCTCTTCCAAGCGTGCCAGGACCAAGGAAGTGTACCCCATGCTTGAGCACGGATCCGAGCACCCACACTAATCTAATGAACTGGACTTTAGGGCTGAACTCTGTGTATGCACAGTACAGATTGCCTAGTGTGAGTGCGCCCTAAGAGTCCATGAAAGTAGACTGATATATTTTAAATTAGTGCTATCCTGTGTAGGTCAAAATCCTTATATTTTCCACTATCATTATATCATTACCAATAATCATGTTTTACTACATTTGATTGAATCTTACTTAGTTAGTTAGAATTATTATTATCCACCTTTCTCACACTTTAAACCTAAACCTACCCCTAATAATAATAATAATAATTGCAACAAAATCCACTTATACAATCAGCAGTGAATACGTCTGTCTGTGTGGGAACTTCAGGCTAACAAGGTCAAAAATAAATATCCTGTAAAGCGTTGTCCAAAGAGGTAAGGGTATGAATAGCGACCACTCTTTCTCTTTGTCGCAGCTCATCGTCTTTGAGCATTTTTACCTTGAAAGACTTTAAAATGTTGCTGTCCTTGTGCATGAGCGGTGAAGGCTTTTAATTGAATGTCAATCAGCTTAAAGAGTTTTCTTTGATCGAGCCCTGACTATGACTGGTTTTATAATTTAGAAAATGTGAACAATTATATTCAAAAATCAGGCTTAAAAATGCCAAAGAGAGACACCTCTCGCTGACAAATCGTGACGAGGGACTCAAATTCTTTTTTCTTGGCGGAATTCAGTTCTCCAAGGCCAAAATGTGACATCTTGTGAAAGTGTTGAAAAGTGTTTTGATGACATTTCTGAATGTTCAGGACAACACGCGGCCGCCAAATGAGAG